TTGTGTGACTGTGTGACTGTAGAGGGTGAAATGAAGTGATCGCTGATGGCGAAGACAGCGTTAGATACGTGATATGTAAAGTAGAGTGGATGAGGCCCAGCCTCATCCTACTCGAGCGAGCGTGATGTATATAAAGAGACCTCTGGCCCTGCCTGGTTCTCCTGCCGGCACAGCTAGCCTAAGCCGGCCCATTGTCTACCTGCACGACCTGCGTGTGTGCCTGGTCTCGCCCCCATCTGGCCCTGGAGGCCATCCTGCCGTCTGAGGTGGTGGCCGTGCCCTGTGTTGCCCCTGCTGATCACTTGCGAAGCTTCCCGGAGTGATCTTTGATAGCGGCTAGCCATCCCTCGAGAAGCTAGCTCGAGTTCGGCCCGAGCCGGGCTTGCATTGCCGAACTCACGACTTCGGCAATGACCTATGCCTCTCGAGCGAACCCATAACACTCAGGAGGTTCATGAGGTTGAGCCAAGGTTGAGGAGGTTGAGGACCCTGAATCTGAGGTTCCTGAGGTTGCAACGTTGGATGATGGCGTACAGCCTCCGATGTTCAATCTAAACCTCTTTGGCTAGTGAATCCTGTCCACATGGACCCCAATGCAGGTCCTCACACCATCTGCAGCCTGATCAATGAGTAGTTTCAACATCCAACCTTGAAACTTTGACGGCCCAGAAAGTTACGTTAATTGGTAAACTTTACCGTTGAACGTAACTCAAATGGTAGCAAATGGACCCAATGAAGTTCCCAGATGGTGAAAGTTGCATATTTGTTTTTGCCTCGGACCAGACAGTCATATAACCCTGAGACTCTGTTGACATCCTCTCCTATCATCTCTCTCCATATCCCATTAATGGTCCAACACCATTGGAGGTGATCAGAAAACTTTTTTTTCTTCCCTTCGTGATCAGCCAGACACGCCTTTGACGGCCCATATCTCTGTCAGCGCGGTACGCGGTACCGCAGGATTTTGTATACAGCTTCCTTTGGGGTATGCCTACATATCTCATTAGTACAGATTTGCCGTTAAATCCAGTGTTGCCGGGAGTACCTGTGTAACCCTAACCCTAACCCTAACCCCTTTTCACCTTGGGTTACCCCCGGTAGCCCAAGGTTTTTCCTCACAATGAAGTCCCCTTTGCCTCAGTTCACAGTACTTGACCTGCCTTGTACCTAGGTTGAGCATAGACTGATCATAGTTGACCAAGGTTGGCTGGCTCCAACCCAGGTTGACAGTGCTTGACGGTAGCTTGAGCCCAAGCTGCACCTAGGGTGACCCCAAGTGACAGAACCTGTACCAAGGTTGCTGGTACTTGGCCCAACTTGTCCAAACTTGACCCAAGTCAACTGCACCTTACCACCCTTGATGGTACCTGCGTTCGGGTGGGACCTATGTTGTACCTAGGTTCAAGGGTGGGTTCAACCTAGGGCTGAAGGAGCCAATGGGACCACTTTGAACGGCTCCAGAGCCGTGACCAGACGTGTCAGTGCACTGAGACTCTGTCGACATCCTCTCCTATCATCTCTCTCCATATCCCATTAATGGTCCAACACCATTGGAGGTGATCAGAAAACTTTTTTTTCTTCCCTGGGTGATCAGCCAGACACGCCTTTGATGGCCCATATCTCCGTCGGCGCGGTACGCGGTACCGCAGGATTTTGTATACAGCTTCCTTTGGGGTAAGCCTACATATCTCATTAGTACAGATTTGCCGTTAAATCCAGTGTTGCCGGGAGTACCTGTGTAACCCTAACCGTCCAGCTTTTTCCACCAGCCAAATTTGCTTTTTCACTAAAGATCTTTTTTGTAAAGCAATGCTAAAGATGTCGTTGACCACCCCTATTGTATGCCCAATGCTGTCATTGCTTGGTTGTTTGCTTGTCTCCAAGTTCTCAGCTTGCATGGGTTTGCAGGTGCGTGAACCCGGATTTTGTCACATGCGCTAGTCGGCGTTGAGGCTTCGTCTGTGCTACCATCGGCGAATTCTCACCTTTGGCGCCAAGCCTTGTCCAACACCCTCGCGCCATGGTGCTTGGTAAATCGCCGACTGCGCTTGATGACTTTTTGCGAATGACCTAGGCGGACCGTCAACATAGCTTCACCTCTCACCACCACCATCACCTTTTCACATCGTGTTGCTGGCAATTGGACGTCAAAAGCAGCTGCTTGCTGCGCCATCCTCACGTTCGACCATCTATCGCTAGCGCGAAGGAAACTCGCAGCAAGATGGAAGCTTTAGCTCTTGCGTACACAGCACCGTCCATAGTGAACGTCGTGGTCCTGGGCACCTACCTCTTGCTTCTAACAATCTTCTACCATGCATTCCAACGGATCTTCTCGGCAGGCATTTTGGGTCCTCTCGTTCTCGGAGCCGTATACGCCCGACCGCTCGGAGACATCCTACCGCAGGATGTGCAATCGGCTGTGCTCGCGATAGGCTATCTCGGATTGATCCTGCTCATCGTTCAGGGCGGTCTCGAAGCGCGAATGGACATCATGTCGAGTCCGAAGAACCTGCTCGTATCTATTCTGGTCGGCGGAACTGGTATCCTGCTACCGATCGGCATCAGCATGGCACTTTTGCCATGGGGTTTCGGCTTTGGCTTTCTCGAAAGCTTCGCCGTCGGCGCAGCCTTGGGATCCACCAGCCTGGGCACGACATTCGCCGTCCTGAGCTCCTTTAGCGGCTCGCAGAACGGGTCGGACGGCGGATACACCAATGATGCGACGCACAGCATTGCCTCTACTCGCATCGGCACCATCCTGATCGGTTCGGCACTCCTGGACGATATCGTGGGGTTGGTCATCACCGGTGTGATCGCATCCCTCGGTCCCTCTTCAGGATCCGAACAAGGCGGATCCATCTCCATCGCACCTTGGACAATCGCTCGTCCCATCGTGGCCTCTTTCCTCTTGATCGTGGTCTCCTGCCTCCTTTCACGCTACGCGCTCCGACCCATCACCCGGCTGGCGGCGCTTCGATACCAACGATCGCGCGAAGCTCGTCTCGATGTTGAAGAAGGAAGTTCCGCCCCTGGCTCGAAGTTCGGAAAATCGATGAGACACCTTCTAGCCGATGCCGGCTCGCAACAGCTCCTCGCCGCAACGCTTCTTATCATCACGGTGCTTGCCTACTCGGTGATAAGCGAGGAGATCAAATCTTCGCTCCTCATCGGCGCCTTTTGCGCCGGAGCCATGATGAAGTATGTCTACGGCACTTTCTTGGACACCGCTTCTCCGCCGCCCAACTCGACTTCCAGCACCATCCTTCGATTGTGGTCGCCAGAACACCTGCTTTCGACCCAAACGGCGCTCGGCGTCGTGCAGGAGACCATCCTCATGCCGTTCTTCTTCTCAAGCATCGGGTCGGCTATTCCCGTCAAGTCGATGTTTGAAGGCAAGACCGTGTGGCGAGGTGTCATCTTTGCGGGTCTCATGGCGTTTGCGAAGGTCTGCGCGGGGGGTTGGATCTATGTTGCCGATTGGCTGGAGCAAAAGATGGAGGACAGGGCCGGGAGGGCCGATAGGCGCAAGCAGAAGCAGCTGGCCGACACTCGACAGGCCGTCACCCAGGATGGTTCGATCGAGATGCAGGGCGAAGCGTCGAACGAGGAGGGATCCATTATCCGTGCAGCGGAGGCCGCAGCGCCGAAACAGCCCGTCTGGCCCGCAGCACTGTTCCTCGGCACAGCGCTCATGTCGCGCGGCGAGATTGGTTTCCTCATCATCAACCTCGCCAGCCAGGAGGGCCTCGTCAACGAGCAGGCCTTCAACGTCGCCACCTGGGCCATCGTCCTCAACACTCTCGCTGGGCCCATGTCGATTGGCATCTTGATGCGCACACAGCACGGGCAAGACATCATCAGGCGCAGCCCAAATGGCAGGAAATATCGATGGAGGTGAAGACTCTCAGCTCGAAAACTCGACGAAGACGAAGGCTTCAGACATGGACATGATCATTTGCATTGCAATCCAGACAATTGTAGACAGAACGAGACTTTATGCGTGGTTCAGGACTGTGTCTGAGGGTCAGGCGAGTGGAATCAGGAGCTGCCGGGGGTGTACACGTTGGTCTTGAGACCCATGCCGCCGCTCTTGTTGCTCTCCTCAAACGATTTGAGCAGTGTCGAGAGCTCCTTGCCGCTGCCGGTGCGTCGCATCTTGGGCGTCAGAGGCTTGGCCGGCGCGTGGAACTTGCTCAGGGCGGGAGCGTCCGACGAGTGCTGCTGCTGCATGCCCGCCTGACCGCGCAGGCGAGCCTCCTCGATCGTCATCTGAGGGAACGACGACTCGCGACCTGACGAGCTCGAAGCGGCTTGCTTTTCCTTCTGCGCTTCTTGCTTGACGCCCTTGTTTGTGGCTTCGGTGGCTGCCTTGTCGTCAGTGCCGAGCGCTTTCTGAGCAATCTTGGCGGGGATACTCGCGGCTTTGGACTCGGCCTCTCCACCAAGAGCTCGGCTCTCTTCCCCTGAAGCTCGACCTTCGAGATCCCAGTCCTCCTCGCCAGATGGCAAGGCTGCTGCATCAGCGTCGTCGGAATCATCTGCTTCGACGTCACCATCCGACTGCTGGTGTGGCAAAGTGGCGATCTCGTTGATCCCGCCATCGACCGTGTTTGACGACGTGCTGGGCGTCATCGTCTCTTTGCCCTTGGCGCTGGAGGATGCAGGCGCCTTGCCCGAAGCTTCGCCAGTTGCAGGATCGGCCTTGTCGCCCTCCGAGGTCTGCATCGTCGCGCTGGTCATCTCTTTCTTGACGGCCGACTCGGCACGCGCGGAGGTTGATGCCGAGCGAGACTTGCCTCTCTTGTCGAGGGCGGTACGCACAAAGTGCCTAGCACTCTGCAGCGCCTTTCGGCTGGCATCGAGGAACAGGAACGCCTGGAAGACGTGGACACAGTCCTCGTACAGCTCGTGGCGCACTGCGACTCCTGACAAAGAGGCCTTGTGAGCGAGCAGGGTCACCTCATCGCGCAGCACCTCGGCATCACCGCACTGAATGAGCAGAGGAGGCAGGCCGTGCATGTCTCCGAACAGCGGAGACGCGTACGGATGTGTGAGATACTTGTCGATGTTTTCTCCAAGGTAAGCCCAGACGGGGTTCATGTGATCACCCGACTTGGGCATGGGCAGATAGTCGAACTCGGCGTTGGTGTCCCAAGAATCGCAAGACATGGTGAGATCGACCCAGGGGCTAAAGAGCATGGCACCACTCGGAAGCTCGTACTTGTTGTCTCGGAGGTAGTACATCAGCGCTAGCGCCAACCCACCACCAGCACTGTCGGCACCGAGCACGATGTTGCTAGGCGGAATTCCAAGGTCCTCGGTGAGACGGAAGTAGGATGCGACGCAGTCGTGGAGTGCACCTGGAAATTTGGTGTCGGGAGCAAGACGGTAGTTGATGCCAAAGACGCGGCACTCGGTGTACTTGGACAGCGAGATGGTGAGCGGTCGATGGGTTGCAGCCGACATGACGAAGTAGGCGCCGCCGTGGATGTAGAGGATGACGCGCTCCTTGTTCTTCTGCTTGCCGCTGCGCCACTCTGCCTGGAGTCGGCGCCAGGTCTGTTTGCCTACGACCCATTCTGCACTGATCTCTCGCTTGCCATCCTCGGCCGCATCCGCCTCGGCGAGGAAGCCACGCAGCCCACGCTTCTTGACGCGGAACGTCACAGGAGTAATGAGACCGTCCTTTGGAGTTGGAAGGAAGGCACCGAGGTCGAAGAAGCCCTGCAGTCCCTGAATTGAGGCGAACTCAGAGAAGCTGGCAATGTCGCGCAAGACACGAGTGAAGACGGTCGTCTCGATACCCCACGACTTCTTGGCTGGACCGTAGATGGCGTGCGATGCAACGGCGGTACCGATGGTAACACCTTGTTGGACCAGGAAAGGCAGGTAGCGCCAAGCGTTGGTGAAGGTGATCTTGGTGGGCTGCGTCCTCTCGGCGGCGGGGTTGAGACGTGCGGAGGCAGGAACGTCGGTCTTCTTGTACTGGTCCAGAAGCGAATTCAGTGTCTTTGTCGACTCGTTGTCCTTTTTGTTGACATTACGGCTAGCACGACGAGGCTGATTGGCAGTAGCGGTGGGCGGCGGGGCATTAGGACGGACGGTGGCCTCGGAGTCGGCTGTCGATGCGGCGGAAGGGCTTTCCTCTCCGGCAGCAAGAACGTCTCCATCGCCCTTCTTGCCAGATCCTTGAGCCGATGAAGACTCAGCACCGCGATCAATGGTGGAGGCAGCGGCCTCTGCCACTGCTGCGGTACCAGACTGGCCGCCTTGGCCGGCGTTGGATGACGACGAGGATTTGGAGTCGTTTTCGGGCATGAGCACCATCATGACGGTCAAGTCCAGCGCCATGGCGGAATCTTGACGCGTCTTTGAGCGTTGCTTCTCGTTGTCCACGTCCATGTCCGCAGGCTCTGTCGACATGATGACAGGGTCGTAGGATCCTGGAGGTGCCGAGACGCTGTGACCGCCATCGATCGGATCCGGCAAGAGCGAGTCGCCGCGCTTGTACGACTGAAGATAGCTTGCGATGCTGAGGAGGGACTGCTGCTTCTGAGGGAGTGCGTCGCCATTCTGCTGGCGAAGTGCGTGGAGACGCTGCAAATGGTTGATGGCCTCGACCGCCGTGACAGCTTTGCGGAGTTTTCGCATGGCAGTGAGATTGCGAAGTGTGCGGTCTTTGAGGCAGGCGCCCTTTGCACTCTCCTCGTGCAGTGGCGGCAGGTTAGCGAGCCACGGGTGAGCAAGCGCCTCGCGTGCGGTCATTCGCTCCTCTGCGGAACAGAGACAGCGGAGGATGAAGTCCTTGGCGGTGTCCGACACCTCGGACCAGTACTCTGGCTCGAATTGCACCTCCATCTTGATGATCTGTTTGAACAGAGAGGGCTGGTCTTCGCCGTAGAAAGGAGTGTAGCCGCCGAGAAGAGCGTACGCAATGACACCACTGGACCAAATATCAACGGCAGCGTTGTAGCCCTTGCCGAGCAGGACCTCTGGAGAGACGTACTGGGGCGATCCGCAAGCCGTCATGAGAAGACCCTCGTCCGGGATGAAGCGTGAGAGACCAAAGTCGGAGATGACGATGCCGCTTGGATCCGTCTTGTCGCGTAGGAGGATGTTCTCGGGTTTCAAGTCGCGATGGATGATGTCGTGCTCATGGAGGTACGCAACGCCTTCGAGGATCTGCTTCATGATGTGACGGGCGTCGAGCTCGTTGTAGTGCACCTTTTCGACGAGTCGGTCGAAGAGCTCGCCGCCTTTGCATAGGTCCGTGACGATAAAGACGCCTTCTCTGGTCTCGTAGAGGTCCCACATCTTGATGATGTTGGGATGCTCTACCTTGCCGAGGATGGTGATCTCTTCCTTGAGCATTTTCTCGTTGCTGTCCTTCAATGGCTTCTTTGCGATGATCTTGAGTGCGCGTTGCTCGCCGGTAACTTTGTCGACGACGGCTTTGACCACGGCAAAGGAGCCTTGACCAAGCACTGTGGGCAGCACGTCGTACTTTTTGGAGAGCTGTACCGGGAGGAGAGGAGTGCCGTCCTTCTCGGTCTCCTTAAACCAGGAGCGGAAGGCGTGGTGAAGATGAGAGCCGACCATTCTGACGTGATCTCGCTTCGATGAGGTGGAGCAATCAAGGGAGCCGGTGATGAGACCTGCAGCGTGGGTGCCGATGCGTTCTAGCTTCTGAGGCGGTCGGGATGAAGCGGGTGTCGGATCAGCGCTCTCGGTGCGAAAGTTTTTGCCTTTGATGCTCTTGCGCTGAAAGAGAGCAGTGAGACGTTGTTTCGGGTGAACTGATGACTCGGACTCGTTGGGAGACTCGGATGAGGATGCAGTAGCTGCGAGTCTGTTGGCACGACGTGGCGAAGTGCGATGCTGAAGATGCGCTGCCAAAGATTGGTGGATGCCTCGTAGGGAGAGTGGAGAGGTAGGCGCGCCTTGAGTTGGCTGACGCTGATGCTCGACGTTGGCTTCGTCTTGAAGTGGCGGAGAAGCCGAGGTCGGATGAGAAACCGGTTGCTGCTGTTCGCAAGAGGAGGATTGAGCAGCGTTCCGAGTGGGTGCGGCTGAGTTGGCGGAAGGAGGGGCGTTGGCGGAGGGAGTGATGGTACAGTGAGAAGATGTGTCAGAGCTATCGGCCATACTCCGATGGATGCTGATCGTAGGTAAGTGAGAGAAGTGGAGTGTGATAGGCGAAGGGCAATCGTGAATAGACACTGATTGCAAAAAGTGAGCGACAAGCGAGGTGAGCGGAGCGCGATATGGCGGTGTGCAATCGAGTTGGGTTGGATGTCACCGACCGAGGTGACCACCGACTCCGCAAGCAAGCAACACTCTAGGCTCAGCTGTTGCGTGGAGGTTCCTTTTGCGCAAATGCGCGCGGGCGTGACGAGAGACTGATGCTGTGTTGGATTTGGCTCACGGCGGTGTGAAAGCAGACACACAAACGCATGCATGCACGTCAGTCAGATCGGCGCTCGCGCCTCTCTCTCTCTGCTTTCCCGCCTCTGCCACCTCGCTCAGCCCTTTCACATCGCGTCTTCTTCGGTTCTCTGCTCCACACACGCACAGAGGCTGACGGCTTTCTCGTTTCAGGACACGCCCATCGGTCTGGCCTTTGTCTCCCAAAAAAAGCGCTTGACAAGGCTTCGGCCGTCAGTCCGAACTCGTACCTCTCAGGCTTGGGCGAATCTCGACCCTGAAGAAGCTCGGCCCCTTCGAATCCCAAGGGTTCAGGCTCTTACAGAACGGATGGATCGACGCTCGCTTCTGCCACGTGCTGTCGAATGTGCCGGTGACAGGCGCACATGTCGAATACGTGGACGTCTCCAGACCAACAATGCATCGGACAAGTGACCACAGGCGGCCATTATGAAGAGTCAGCATCAACTGTTCCATGTATACTATCGTCGATTTCGTGTTCCTTTATCGTTCGTGTTCGGTCATCGTTCGTGAAAGAGAAAGCATTCCAACACCACCACGCCTTGACGTCTACAACTTGTCCAACGTGGTCTGGGCGCGAACCATCCTCTCATCGTACTTCTCCTTGAGCATGTCGAAGCCTACCAGCGAGTTTTCTCCGACCAAGTCCTGCACGATGGCCTTGAACTTGTCCAGCTCGGTGGCCAAAGCGATTGCCGCCATCCGCGCCGTCGTGTAGCGCAGATACATCGGATCGCGCAGCACGCTCCAGCTCAGCACGTCCTCCCCTTCCGTCGTGCCTTGAGTGCCTTCTGCCAGCTTGCGCTCCTCGCTCGCCTTCTTGCGCAGGAATGCATCAATGTTGCGATTGCTCGCCGCATACTTGAAGTGGTTCTCCAGCAACGAAAACGAAGCGTGCTGAAGTCGCTCGCCGTTTCGCAGTGCCTTGGAGAGGAGATCGAACATCATGCAGATCTCCGACAGATACTGCGGATCCAGCAGCGATGTGGATGTCGAGAGCAGCGTCTGCCAGTCCAAGCGACTCTTGGGAGCTCGGCTTTTTGTCACGTCTCCGTCATTTGAGAGCGTCGTCAGCCCGTCAAAGGCGCGCACCGATGAGACGATGCCTCCAAGCGACTCGAGGATCGCCGCATGCACAGCTGCAATCTCGACGTACCGCTCTGCTGGCCATCGACCTCTGATGTGGAAATCCATCGAAGCGAGCCCAATCTGACTCCCATAAGTCGCAACAGCGCCGCTGATGGCCATGAAGCGTGCTCGAATCAGTGGCTCGCGGTCTTGCCAGAATTGGCCTGCGGCATTTTCGCCCTCCTCGACCTTCTCACCATTCGTATCCATCTGGTTGGCAAAGCCGGCGCGTTCTGCCTCCCGCTCCTGGATTCGGTTCCTCTCGATCCAGGCTTCCATGGTCTCGACGAACAAGTCGTTGAGTTGTCGAGTCACCTTAGCCATATTCTTGCGCAGCAGGAGACGGCTCGACACTGGCCGCGGGAACACCATGACGATCAGCGCAACCGTCATACCGATAATGACGAGCAGCGTTCGCTTCCAAGCGACCTCGATGCCAATGCCACTGTTGGCCAGCACCGTGAGGTGAGTATCGATCCAGCTGTAACCGACCACAAGAATACAGGACACGTTGAGCATGATGGCTGGCAGCAAAAGCATCTTCGGCGCCCACACGCGCAGAAAGACGAGCGGAATGAAGCCCACCGCGGTGGCAGCACCGACTCCGTACGCGTTGCCGCGACCATTGCCGGTGGAGATGTACCACAGAACGCATCCGTAAAGAAGGCCGATGACCGTTCCAATGAACCGCATGGCAAAGGTAAATATGAGCTCGCCCCCCGAGAGAGCCGCTGCCGTCTGAGCCATGATTAACGCCCAAATACCTCGATGCTGATAGACGAAGTAGGCCGTGTTGGGAAGGACCATCGGGATCCATACTGCGAATGTGGCGATGCACATGCGGAGCGCATAGATGCCGGTCGGCCCCCAAACAAAGTAGTAAGTTGCGGCAACGCCCCTTCCGATGCGGTGCAAAGCACTTGTTGGTGGCATGGCGTCTGGATCGCGCGCATAGTAGTGCTGCTTGCCGGATCGCCTACTCTTCCTCGAGTCCCTCTTGGACGGAGACGTTGCGGGAGTAGAAGCTTTCTCCTCGTCAGCTGGGCGGGAGGAGTGGGGGGACGAGGCCTGTGCCGAGTCGTGATCCGAGTCATCATCACTTTCGCTTTCGAAGTGATCCGCCACTGTGTTGCTTTGAGCGCTGCTAGCTGAGGAAGCGGTATGGACTCGATCGCTCCTAAAATCGCTGTCCAGGACCTCCTCTCGGTCAAATTGACCGTCTCCTGGACCAAAGCGATCGAGTCCATCGGACGACCCACGCTTGTCGCTCTTGAGAATGGCAATCAATCGTCCGAGATGCTTTGGAGCCCAGAAGCGTTTCCGGTTGCCTGCGCGGTCCGCGACGCTGAGCATCTCGGTGTGAAGCTGCGAGACGGTATCCAGTGCGTCCAAAAGATTGGTGACGAAGACAAGGCAGACGTGGAGCGGACGAACGCCGGCTCGGAACGATTGAACGGATTCTTTGGTCTGCAAGAAGTGTTCCTCGAGGTTCAAGTCCGGATGCAGAGCTCGAAAGTGTTCGGCATAGGGTTGCAACAGCTCGAGCCTCTTGTCTGTGAGCAAGCTTTGCCGAGCGCTCTCGAGATTGATCTTTGTTTCGTGTAGCTGTTGCAGCACCTGGTCGATGGGACGCTTCTGTCTCCAGGAGAGATTCGCCTCGAAATAGGCTTGAATAGCTTCGATTGAATCAGCAGCCGCATCCAGCGATGGTGCCGCGATGTTGTGCAGGATGTGGAGCATGCGCGACATGTGCACCTGCTGCTGAGCTTCGCTGGCGAAGACATCGCGGCGAACGCGGTGAATGGTTGCGGTTTCGTGCAGTCGGATCGGATCCAGACGCTCTTTGGTGGGGAGCGCTTCAGTACCGTGTTCTCCGTCTTTGTGGTAGCCTGGCTCGAGTTGAGATGGATCCCAGTTTTCGTCAAAGGTGTGAGGGTCAGAGATACCGAGCTCGCGGCCAACCATGCGCCAGAAGGAGTTGAGGAGCGTGAGTTGGAGATTGACGGAGCGAGTCCTGCGGAAGATGACCTTCATGTCGCGTGCGCTAAAGTAGGATCGATAAAACTCCATGCCGAGGAATGGAGTCATGCCGTTGATATCCTCGATCTGCTCGGTAAACGCGGCGCGATTTGCCTTGACATTGGCAAGCAAGCCAGACGCAGTCTTGGCGGCCTCATCCTCCGCTTGAATGCTTCGATGCAGCACCTCGCTGGTCGGCTGCTCGTGGCGAGACTGCGTTGAAGAGATGCTGGAAGGATCGTGGTGCTTGGACACATCTTCGAGGGCCGATGAATGCAGACGAACGAGGTCGCGCGTGGTGGCCAGCATGGAGACGAAGCGGAGCTGCCAGGCGTACGCCAGCGTCTCTGGGAAGATGAGAATCTGCGAAGCGAGACAGATGGCGAGCGAGCAGCCGATCGGGATCATGAAGATCTGGCCGAGCGTGTATCTTGCGTAGGGGAACAGAGGACCGTAGGAGCACATGATGTCGGTGACGATGAGGAGGAAGATGGACCCAATCTTGAATTTTGGACGCTTGACCTGAAGCACTGCCACGGCATAGACGCCGAGCATGAGGAAGACGCCGAACACAGCCGTGGATCGAACGTCCAGGTATTGACCGCGGAAGACGGAGGTGGCGACGTATGCCTCGGGATTGGTGGACGAGGCAGCAGAAGATTGAACGCGTTGAATGGCAGCTTGCAAAAGGGGCTGGCTACGAGCGCGATTAGCAGCAGCCATGGCAGCGCATCCCCAAGCCCAGCCTGTCAGTGCGCCGATGGCAAGCATGCCGAAGGCAAGGAAGAAGATGAAGAAGGGCATGGAGGGCGGGATCATGAGGGTGAGCATACAGCCGAAGAAGGCAGCCTGCCCAAGGACCCGCAAGGAAGGGCCGGGGATCATCAAGAGGAAGTTGGCCCACGTTGCTACCCAGCATCTTGCAAGAATGCGGAGAGATCGAGCCGAAGTTATGTTGCTCTTGATCCAGCTGGGGATCTTGGATGGCGACTTTGCAGGTTTGACATTCTTGCCAGTCTTGCTCTTGTCGGAAGCGCCGCCCTTGTGTTCTGTCTCCTGCGCCGAAGATGACGACGTATGAGAAGCACCATGGGCTGTCAAGGCCGGAGACTGTTCTTCTGCATTCTGTGCCCGAGCCGACATGTCGTCAAAAGCGAGCGACCCGCAGCGAGACAGCGGAGAGCGGGAAGGTGTCTATCGACAATGACAAGGGGCGTCTTGAGATCCGAACCGCGACTTGGTCGTGCTCAACGATGGAGCAGCAGCGCGCGGGATGGCTGGTGGCTAGTCTGAATGTTGACATTCAACGGAGGTCAAAGCTTGAGATGCGGAATGTGAACTCGAAGTAAAGAGGGCCCCGCACAAGGCGTCGGCTCAGCGTGATAGCGTGACTGCTCGTCAAATGTGCTGGGGCATGACACCAACAGAACCGCTGCATGTGATGCATGCAGCTGCTTCCGAAATTCCACCAAAAAGAAGGACGTCCAACAGCTGAGTGATGAAAAAACAACACGAAGCGTGAGTTCTTTCGGATCTGGCGATCCGGCGTCTTGGCACCGGAAGTCGGAGAGTCGTGATGGCGAGCTTTCTGAGCTTGTGTGGAGGTCTGGCAGGAAAGAAGAAAGGTGCAAGGTGATTCCACTTCTCGAAAGGCTCTCTTCGACACAACCAACAACGAGGACAGTCACACAGCCCCGAAGACAGCTATGACTGATCTACGAAGGGAAAGAGCAGTATCGCCATCGGCACCCACGCGACCACATCCCAGCAAGCGCAGTCGATCCGATGAACGGAGCGGACCAACCGACGAGAATCAAGCCTCTTCGTCCAGCGCCAAGATCCTCGAGACGTTCGGCAGCTTCCGAGACGAGATCGACGCGCACAATGACCGACGGGAGCGTCTCATCAAGTCATCGCGCGATGTGACAGCTCTCTCGAAGAAAGTCATCTTCTTGCTGCATCGATTCGATATCACCGACTTTGCGTCCGCAGAGCCCTCTGCAAAGACGCGCAAGCTTTTTTCTGAAGCCGAGACCAAGCTGGACGAGATCGTAGCGCTACTCAGACAAGCGGCTATGGCCGAAGGTCTTGGCTCACTTTGTGCGCCTGATCAGCAGCTGAATTTGTCAGCGGCGCGGCTTCGAGCGCAACGCTACGAACGAAACATCGGCGGCGGACTCGAAGAGTTCATCGAAGCCATCTCCTTCTACCACTACCTACGCACTACACAGCTCATCAGTCTACGCCAAATTCAGGATCGCTTCCGCACCGAGACCGTATCCGAATCGCAGCTCTATTCGAAACCGACAGAGACTACGCAGCCAGCATCACAGTCAGCAAGGGCAGGTCCACCAACAGAAGACTCCGAAGTGCTCCACGTTCCCACACATCGATACCTACTCGGCTTGTCCGATTTGACGGGCGAGTTGATGCGCTTCGCCACCAATGCTGTCGGCCAAGGCGACACAGGCACAGTCATCAAGCAAGTTCTCGACCTCACTCGCCGGTTGCGGGATGCGTTGGATCCCTTCGTGCCGCTCGTCAAAGACCTCAAGAAAAAGCAATTCGTCACAAATCAGAGCTTGCGCAAGATCGAAGACAGTAGGTCTCAGCATCCTCGAGCTGCATCGATGACAGGCGAAGTAGCTGACCAACATTTCTCCTCAACCTTCCTCCTCATGCAGTCCTATACGCAATTACAGTGCGATCCGCAGAGTTTGGCTCGGATCCCAAAGCACTGAAGGAGATGGTACGGCGGACGCTTGCCGCTTCATCAGCACCGAACCAGCGCGAAGACGACGAGTAGACATTTCATAGAATGTTCGAGACTTGCAGGCAGGGCACACAGCAGTCAAGGGAACGAATGAATGGTATTACAAGATGCGAGACAGGTGACACAGTCAAGACACCCAGATAGAAAGCGAGATCAAATGAATGTTGAGAAATGCTTGAGAGCTGCAAAAGAGGGAGTGTATGTAGGGCGGAGCGAGAAGCAGCACAAGCGATGTGATCGACTAGCATGGCCCATCAAGTGATATGCACGCTGCTCGCGCCACCAGCTTGGCATACTCGCGCTCAATCACTGACCCGAGCTCGGCCTCGGTTTCACCCTCCTCATCATCGCTGATGGAGCATGTGCGATCATGCAGAGGCGGCGCGAAGGAGCCTCGGCGGGAAGAGGACGCGGACATACCAAAGCCAAAGGGCTTCACGGCATCTCCTACGGCTGTTGACGGACGCCCACTGCTGCTGCTGCTTTCATCGCTCGTCGCCCCTCGGCTTCGAGAGCCTGCAGAAGATGAAGCGCGTGTGCGAGCATTGCCGTCGTCAGCCTGACCAACGGCGCTCCGCGGTCGCGCGAAAGAAGACGCACGTCGTCCTCTCAGGTCCAGCCCATAACCAGTAACAGTGTTCGGATCGCTTTCGTCGCCCTCTGTGAGCTCGTGGCTTTTGCTAGATGAAGCCGTGTTGCCTCGGGATGTGCGCGGTCGGTCATCGCTTGACATGCTTCGATGCGAGTCCTGCTCGACAGTGTTGTGGAATGCAAGGAGCACATCTTCATCCGTTGCCGGCACGGTAGCGGTCCCAGCCCCCGCGTCGAAGTGCGGGATCGCCGCGCCGCCCGAGGATGGCCTTTGACGGCCAAAACTGTGCTTCCAGGGTTCCAGGCGAATCTGCGAAGTCGAGGAGGAGGGCAGACTCGGGGCTGTCTTGGGCCGCGGTGCGCGCTGGTGTCGTGGCATGAGCATGTCGGTCTTTGCTAGTCGTTCGGCAGACATGAGCGTTCGTCCTTCTCTAGCTTCAAGTCGCGCGGCAGCTTTGACGCTGTCAACATCATACACCTCTCTCTTGCTAGGCTTCGAGCCAGCAAACAGTGGTGGTGAAATGAGATAAGTGCGGCGCTTCTCTTCCATGATAGTGGAGCGTGTAATGGTCGCATGAGCGCTTGGGTAGTCATCATGCCGTGAAATTCTGTCGCCGGGGGAGCCGACGACATAGACCTGGGCCATAGTCGCATTGTGTGGGATGCTTTTCGATGAACTTGCATAGACGGTGGTATCAAATGGCAAAGTAGGTCTGCCAAGGACGCTGTGCATATCAATCGCTTGATGATCCACCAGCGCTGTCGGTGTGAGAGGCATCGACATGGTCGAGACGTGGGCGCTTCCGCCAGCTTGAGGTTCAGTCAAGGGCGCCGATCAGGCTGTAGTGTGGCGTTCACGGTGAGAAGAACAAAGGCGATCAGGGATGGGGATCAGGGTTGGAGCTGGTTCAGGACAACATTTGAAGAGCAAGAACGACGAAGAGGCCGAGTTGAAACGATTACAGATGTCGCAGCCGTGTGTCGTGGGTCAAGTGGACATTCGTTTGACGTCTATGGAATGCTCAGGCGAACGTCGTCTGGCTGTGTTTGTTGATGTATGGCGGGACGAGTAATCGGATGAAGTAAGCCGAAGTGGGATGAGTCGAGGTCGGAAGATGAAGGTTGCGAAAGGATGGTTGGTGGCTTAATGTATCCAGGCAGTGAGCTGCTTCGGATGCGGCCCGAGTTGCTTTGACGGGCCGGAACAAGGGAATGTTGTCCGCTTTGGGGGGTGATGGTGGAGAGGATATCGAAGGAGAGAAGAAGGAGAAGAGGATCGACGAGAGTGGTGACAGCGACAAAGGGGGGAGCGAACAAAGAAGCTGCCATGCACGTCTGGCTGCTAGACAAGACTGTCGACTGCATACGCACCTGCAACAGTCAGCCGGCGTGATTGGCGAAGGGTTCGATTTAGCCGCTGCGGAGAACTCCTGGCGGTGACGGCGGCTGCTGTTCCGATCCAAGACAATCGTCGTCAAATAGAATCACGCTCCCAACCGAGACAGAAGCTGCCTGAGTTTGAAGATGCCCAGTAGGCGTAGTCGACGACAAGTGTGATTTCGCAAAGCGAGCACCGGTTGATCCGACCGACACCTTTGGTTCACACGCCTCGCCAATGTCGAGTCTCGAGCTCGCTCGCGAGACAATCCTGGTTTCCATGCATGTATCGACAACGACGGTGGACGCCGGCTCGGATGGCAGCCGAACGCCTGAACAAAAGAGTGCATAAACCAAGGCGACATGCAAAAAGGCTGTTTGCACGCTCACACACACAAAAGTGGCGCATCGGCAAATGCGAGAAAGAGACTTTTGGCAGTAAGCGAGTCCAAAGCCAAAACGTTACCACTCCCTTCGGAGCTTGCCCTCTCTCACTTTCGACCCCCAAGAGCGGATAATCTCTCGGCCATCTGCGAGTACGGATTCAAGCAGCTTCATGAACGTCGTCGACGATCGCACTGAATGAATTTCCCACGAACACAGACAGGCCATGGCGGACCTCCAACCTTGTTTCGAGCTCAAGTTGAAGCACCGAATGCATGTCATCGCTGCAGACGCGGGGCTTCTATTTTTCGCTCTAAAGCGGATCAGAAGTGAGCGGAGTGTCAAAATCACTTCTCTCTTTGGCGCTAGCGATGATCTGGGTCGGATTCAGCAAGCTGTCAATGGCCGTCGAAGCCCAGCCTGGTCGATTTCGGCGTTTGCCTGTGCCAGGATGATCAGGATTGCAGAACAGTGACGGTCATACAAGACCGTGATAGCACATAGATGACGGCGATCTACGCACAAGATCAGCGTACGGTATGCGAGCGCCTCTCTGGTTTCGGAGCACATGCAGCCGACACCACTCCGTCACGCTAAGGCGGCTAGCGCGGAAAATCCGAATTCACCGAAACAACGCTAAGAAAAATTGATTTTCAAAATCAGTTTGGCCGCGGATCTGGATCGTCGCCCGATATAGCGTCGTTCTGAACAGATATCGGCATTACCCCACAAAACTCGCTTGCTTGCTGAGAAGACCCTGAGCTTAGGCCGGCGCTTCTACCGGGCTAAGCTTGCCGACTGCCGTGGCACACAGCGCCCATCGACCCCACCATCTTCCTTCTGCACTGCAACAAGAACAAGACGTCTAACAGGTGCTCGACAGCCTACGATCGACCAGCATGACCCAGCAAGCTCGGGGATTGACGGTCCCTCTCGGCCCATATACGGTCTACGATCCCAAGGCAGGCATCTACGCGTCAAGATTGCCACCGCCTCAAGTACCATCCGAGTCGGTCTACCAGTTCTGCCTGGGCGATGTGAGCTTCGATGATGCAGGCACTGCCATCACCGACTGCTCGTCGGGCCGAATCATCTCGTAAGCTACCGTTTCTTTTCCTGACTACACGAGCTTGCGCCCCTGACGCTGACTCTCGCACCATCCTCGAATCTGATAGATATGGCGAGCTCAGGCTCCGAGCGCAACGCTTCGGCCTCGGCCTTCTTACCAAAGCGCACCTCAAGCCAGGCGACACCATCCTCGTCGCGCTCCATGCATCCATCGAATTCGCCGTCGTCGTCATGGCGGCCCAGTTCGCCGGTCTTCGCGTGGCGCTCGCCAACCCCGACTACGCCCGCAAAGAGCTTCGCCACGTCTACCGTCTCACCAAGCCCGCCAAAGTCGTCGTCCACAGCACCTACCTCCGCCGTGCTGCCGCAGCCAACATCAAGACCTTCACCGTCATCCTCACGGACACCAAGCTGGGTCGTGGGGGTGTTTTGTCCATCGGCGAACTGTTGGCTGACGAATCTGCTGCAAAGGCTGCTCAGCCATTCGTGCCAAAGGACCTGGGGACCACTGCCTACCTCCCTTCTTCGTCAGGGACGACAGGGCTGCCAAAAGCGGTCCAGATCTCCCACAAGAACGTCGTGAGCATGATCTCGGCCAACCTGTGCACGCCTGGATTCATCCCCGAATCACTCCATGGGGACCAGGTGCGGATGCTTAGCTTCCTCCCCTTCTTCCACGCCTACGGCCTGATCGGGCAACTGCACCTCATGCTGAGAATGCGAGGTCAGCTATTCCTCCTCCGCCCTTTCACGCCAGACTCTCTCTGCAAAGCTGTACAGACGCATCGCATCAACCTGCTCAACTGCGTCCCTCCAGCGCTGACGAAGCTCACAAAACACCCTGGCACCACCCGCGCGGTATTTGCCACCGTCAAGCGTGTGCGCTGTGGAGCAGCGCCGCTGGACGCAGAGACAGAGGCCAAGTTCACCGATCTCACCGGCGTCGAAGTGAAACAGGGGTGGGGAATGACCGAGCTCACGCTGGCCGGATTGGACCCATCGAGTGGACAGCAGACTCCCGGGTCCGTTGGCTGTCTCGTCCCTGCCACGCTCGCGAGGGTCGTCGATGTCGATACTGGGAAGGCTGTTGAGCCAGGGCAACGTGGCGAGCTGCTGATCAAAGGCGACCAGGTGTTCTCCGGCTATCTGTCCAACCCTAGCGAGACCAAAGCGTCGTTCACCCCGGACGGGTTCTTCCGCACCGGCGACGTGGTGGTGGTCGACCCACGAACGGGCGAGTTCACCATCGTCGACCGTCTCAAAGAGCTAATCAAGTATCAAGGGTTTCAGGTGGCACCCGCCGAGCTGGAAGGCGTGCTCGTCGCTCACCCCAAGATCGCGGCTGCCGCAGTGGTGGGCCGATACAGCAAGGATCAGGCGACAGAACTTCCATGTGCTTTTGTCGAGCTCACACCCCACACCTCGACCACGTCAAAGGGAGCGGTGGCAAAGGAAATTGACGAGTTCGTCCGCTCAAAGGTGTCGCATCACAAGTTCTTGCGTGGCGGCATCCACTTTGTCGATAAAGTGCCCGTCAGCGCTAGCGGCAAGATCCTGCGCAAGGAAGTCCGGGCCATGCTCCAGGCTCTAGAGCAGCAAGAGGTGCTTTCTACGCGGGCGAAGTTGTAGCGTCTCGCACAAGAATGGTGATACAATAAGTGTACAATGTCGATGACGAAAGCATGCAATACAAAAGCAAAACAGCATCACTGGGGCGCTTGGAAGTTCCATCCCTGTCCTTAATTCTTACTGGGAACTTTCAGGTCATGGCCGATTGAAGCCTGGCGGTTGCTGGCCTTGCGCCGCCTGAGCCTGCATGTGCGCCATGTACTGCTGTCGGATCTGCTGCTGCAGGTGCGGCGGCAGGTTTTGGAAGTTGGGCATGCCCATCATGCCGGGCTGGGGCTGCGGAGGTTGCTGTCCGGGCGAGGCACCCGCTGCGGGCGATCCCTGCTGCAACCCAGGCGGTTGGAATCCAAAGTTGGGCTGCTGCGCGGAGAAGTCCGTGGCAGAGGCCACATTGGCAGGGCTGGGAGCGGATTGCAGCTGCGACGGGTCGAAAGCGAGATTGGACGACCCGGTGCGATTGCGTCCGGCGCTGCCGACGGAACCGGAGCTGCCTGGTCGCTTCTGCATCGCTGCTGGTCCGCCGAGGGGCGTTCCTGTTCGGCCGGGTGCGTTGCCACCGAATTGGGCCGCAGTCGGACTCGACTGCGCCTGACTTGGGCTGTTCGAGTGTCGACTGCCTGGTCGCGTCCCAGCTGGGCTGGAAGTACTACCGATACCACCATTTGGCATCGCAGCCGGACTGCCAGTCGCCGCGCTGGAGTCTCCACCAGCCTGCATGGCCTTCTGCCGCTGCAAGGCGGCGTTCTGTAATGTCGTCATGTGCTGGAGCTGCACTTGCAATGGCATCGCCTTGAAGCCGTTGAGATTGGCTTCCATGTACGCAACCCAAGGGTGTGTTCCTTGCCCACGCAGGTGTGACTGAAGGGCGTGCAGGTTGACGAGTGCATTGGGACCAAAGGCTTGCATGAGGGCTTGCGCTTGCGGGTTGTTGGGAATGTTCTGAGCGGCGGTTGGCGGGGCGATCGGCACAGGAGGCGCCAAGGACAAGTCAGGACCTTGTGACGGTTGTTGCGGCTGCTGCGAAGCTGCTTGTGGTGCTGGTGCTGGCTGCTGCGGTTGTGCCGGTGCTGGCGTCGATGTCGCGTCTGCGGGCTGAGTTGAAGCCGTCGCACTCACGATCGGCTGCGGCTGACTCGTAGAGGACGATGGCGTCCCAGCAGCCGAGACGTCCTGCGGTCGCTCAACGCCTTTGGTCGCTGTCCGCTTCTGCGGGCTTTCACCACTTGGATCCGCCGTCGAGTCCCGCGACCTCTTCTTGCCGTCTGCTACCGGCGAATCCGCCTGACCGGCCGCACCGAAGATGGCGATGAGCTTGTCATACAGAGCTGGCAGAGGCGACGAAGGCGCATGCTCGCTTCGCGGGAACGGCTCCAGTCGCGGCAAGGCTCCACTTGGCGCTGACCGCGCACCAGGATCCACGCTCTTGCCGGCCTTGTCGGCGACGCTTGCCAGATAGGCCAGGTTGGCCTGCAGACGCACGGCAGCTTCGCGGTAGACTTGATCCGTTGTGAGCTCCTTGGCTTGCAAGTCAACACAGAATCGGATGAGCTCCTTGTTGATGCGCAAGATGAGCGCGACTCTGCCCTCGCGAGCTGGCGTGGAGGGCTGCGATGTGGCCGGTTGTGCTGCGGATGTTGCGTCGATCGGCGCTCTCTTCTCGGGCGTCGCGGGCATCGAAGTCGGTGCAGCTTCTGATGCAGCGATGGTCTCTATCGCGGGCACCAGAGCGACGTCATCGCTGGATGACGTCGCTGCAGCAGGTTTGTCGTCTGTCTTTGCTTCCGTATCCTTCGACTCTACCGCAGCAGTGGCGGTCGAGCCGCTTTTAACTGCTTCCGCTTCTGCGATGGTCGAGGCTGCTACATCTTGTGCTGTCGCAACTGCGGACTCATCGGCCTGCGACTGAGAAGCAATGTCTGGAGCCACAGATTGAGCTGGCTCGTCGACGGCAGCCTCTTGAGCGACAGGCTCGATCGCTGCCGTGTTGCTTGATGCAGATGTGGCTTCAGTCGCCGGTGCCATCGCCGCTGCTTCTGCTCCTGCGACGGCTTGCGCAGATGCTCCTTCAGTTGAAGGATTGACAGCTGGCGCGATCGCAGCTTGTTCTGAGGCTGAAGCATCTGCAGACTGGTTTGATTGCGCCGATTGAGGCTCTGAAGCGCTCGCTGGAGGCGCATCTTCGGACGATGGTGGAGCAGCCGGCGCTACTGTCGTAGAATCAAGCTCTGGCGCAGAAATTGCGGCGGTCGTTGGCTCTATCGAGGAAGGCTGTTCGATGCTGGAGATGATCGGTGCTGATGCAGTATCTTGAGCTGTGTCCGCGCTTACCTGTGCCTCAGCGGACTCTGTCGTCTCCTGAGGAAGCGCGGCATCATCTTCGGTAGATGGGACCACTGGAACGGTTTGGTCCCCTGAGGTGCTTTGTAAGGTCGCCGCGGTCCCGTCTTGAGTCCCTTCTGATGTGGAGTCGAGCCCGCCAATCGGAACTTGAGTCGATTCCTCCCCTGCAGGTGCGAGAAGCTCTGAGGTTGCCGGCGGCAACTGCGGAAGGACAGGGTCTGCGGGTGCTGTTCCTGCCTCTATCGAGCCGATGACAGCAGCGTCTGTCGTTTCTGCCGAGCTTTGCGGCTGGGCTGGTACGGACTCCTCGTCTGCTGATGCTACAGAAGTGAGAGGCTGGGAAGCTTCGGCGGCTAGGGGTGCTGCTTCAGAGATTGGCACCACAGACGGAGCATCCGTCGAGATCTCTGCAGGAAGCGTCGAGGGTTGCGGTGGTGGGTCCATGTTTGATATGGTTGAGGGGCTGGAGCGATGCTAAAAGCTGTAAGGACCCAGCGGCGGCGACGATGTTCAGCCACTTGTGACCCTAAGTGTATGGTCGAGTGGATGGACGAGAATCAGCGCTGGTGGAGAAGCTAGCCCTGAAGCCACTGTTGTTGGATGCGCGACGCGCGATTGATCCCGCTAAAGGATAACTGAGTGCAAGCAGGAGCAACGTCCGACGATGGTGTGAATGGTGATCGGTAAGGAGCGTGGTGAGGAGATGGTGGATGTGGTCGAGGGATGCGAACACGTTCCAAGAAGAAGACGCACAGACTCGGCCGCTGCCCGAGTTTCCGGAAGTGTTTTTCGAGCCTTAATTTTTCTTCAGGGTTTTCTCAGCACGCCTAAACAAGCATCGTGTCGCGATGAGTGGTCGGTCCTCTTCGCCCTCGCTTCTCAACACACGGCAGATGATAAGCGCTTTGACATTGACATGCTGCTAAGTTCGACCGTCCTGGCTGTTCGTCACACGTGAGGAACCAAGCGATCTCAATGCTATGCATAGAGCCTTGCGAGATCCTCACTCCATACTCTTGACGAGCTTGAGACATTCAGCCATCACCTGCAAGAGACCCTTGCGCGCTTCCTGAACGTGTGCTGGCCCCGTGGCCTGCTTCAGTTGCACCACATGATGGGTCAGGCTGTCCTGCAGCGCGGTCTGTACCTTCTCTTGATCAAAGCCTCCTCTTTGATCCTGCAAGCCTTTGCTTCGAGGCTCAGAGAGGAATTGCAAGACGTTGAGCAGCACGTAGCCAGCGCGCATGCTTAGGTTGATGCCGTTCAGTTGCGCCTCGGCTTCTGTGTCAGCTCTGCTGCGTGTCGAGCTTGCTTTGGTGGACTCCAGATCGGCGCGTTCCCATTCGTTCCGCTCTGCATCCTCCGATCGATCGAGTATGAGGGTGCTGACTAGGATTGGTAAGAGCCTGTTCAGTGTCACCAAAGCCTCGACAGCTGTGCTGACCTCGGTGACCATTGCCAGTAGTGCAAGACAGGCCATCCGCGTGGCGAGCGACGGTTCTCCACCTTGAGCATCAGAGGTGCTCTCCGGCGTATCACCATCTATCCCGATGCCGCTACCGTGTAGATACGCCCACTCGTCGACTTCGCAGAGACCGAGCAGCATCCTGAGTCGCAATGTAAGCCTGTCCTGCGATTCGGTCGTCGTGGCCGCATCAGTTTGAGATGCTGGCGACTTTGCAGAAGTGAAGTATCCAAAAACCTCCTGGACCTGCAGCAGATTGACCAGGAGCTCGATCCAAGCCCTTCGTACCATAGTGTGCTCTTCCATGAGCAACTGCTCGCATGCCTGTGCGACGACTGAAGTGGGCCGGAATAGCTTCCCGGCGTTGATGCCCTCCGTTGCTTTTGCATCCGCAGTTTCAAGCGTAAATGCCGCGATCCTTAGGCAGACATCTGGAGAGAGGGAAGCCAAGTTGGTGAGCGCGAGGAGCGACTCGAACTTCTGTAGTCTGGTCGCCATCGGACACAGCAAGAGGCTGCAGATGACTGAGGACACCGATAGAAGCCCGTCCGAAGAAGGGAAGAGCAGGCTGGGATTCAATGAGATGAGAAGCTTGGCCAGTGCCTGCAGGGGCGCGAGGTCGTCGGAGGTGACATTGGCTGCTGCTGATGTCCCTGCCGAGCGCGAGAAGAGACCATTGGACGTGTTCGACTGCTGGCTGTTGGCCGATTCGCTCGAGCTAGATGGAAGTAGACCGTGCAACACAGGGGCCGATAAAGCCAGCGCTGCCCTCAAAGCGCCCTGTTGCACAGCTTTGCCTCGCATGACGCGATCTTGTTTGGTCAAGAGCGCAAGCAAAGCCTGTTCGCATGCTTGACGGACGCTCTTGCTTGGGTTGACCTTCCAGCTCACACCGTCGGATGTCGAGGCACCGGATCCAGGAGGAGGTCCAGCTACAGCGAGAGCGCTGAGTGCCTCTACTCCCTTGGCTTCTAGTACCGCCGAGCACCTTTGTTCCACTTTGGCAGTGGTCTCGAGCTTGTCGTCGTCGTCGTCCGTCTGGCTTCCATCTTGTTTGGTTCCCTGCGCGTTGGCAAAGTTCCTGAGACGACGGACCTGCTTTTCTTCGGATGTGAGTGTGGGTGGGTACGCAGTGATGTTGGACAAGATAGTGGCCAGCCCCAGCTGAAGTGCTCCATCGAATCTTTGGCTGTCGATATCATGAACCTGCTTTTCCTCGGCTTTCTTGGGCGTTGTGATGTCGAACCCGGTGCATAAGAGTTGGAGTAGGTTGCGATCTGCAGCGACGCGTTCTTTGAATGTCGACTGGACTGTGAGATAGGCCAGCGCTTCCAAGCAGCTTAGCTCGACGAGTCGGCGATGTTCTGCGTCCACCTGTCGTAGTAGACTTCGCGATTGTGACTTGATGGACAGTAGTTCGGTCTGCGTTGCTTGATACAATGCTTGGTCTTTGCGTTTGCGTTCTGAACTCGCCTCTTGGATCTTGCGGACATGATCTGCTTGGGAAGTCGGCTCTGATGATGCTGATTGGGTGAGGCCTTGCATGGCCTCGGAAGCAATAGCGCGGTAGACCTTGATCTCAGCGAGACCAGCGACGACAGCGATCGCGTCTGATTTGTGATCTGCGGTGTTGGAGGAGCCGCGAGAGACACAGGCGATGTCGAGCCAGTCGAGAACGGCTTGTTGGCCGGCAAGGTACTTTCTTGTCGCTGTCGAGTTGGCAGCGGAGGAGATGAGCTCAGCCACTGCCAAGCCGACGAGCTCTTCATCCGATAGCGAGCGCTTCGAACGTGTGTCTTGGGCTTGGCCGTCTGCCTCTACACGGCGAACAGCATTACAGGCCTCCGGGGCCTCCAACACAAGGTCGATGATACCGTCCGCGGTGAGGATGTCATGCGCTTCCGATGGCAGTACACTGAAGAGTGCCGAAAAGAAGCCGAGCGCTGAGAGAAGGCTGTGTGGGGTTGTGTCGGCGAGTCTGGATCGTATGACAGGCGTCAAGAGCTGTGCAATGTTCTCGTCAACGGGCGCGGCCTGAGAGCGCACATCTTGTCGGACAGCTGCGGAGGAGGAGCGCGAAGCAAGCGTGAGAAGCGCAGCACTGCGTGCTTGCTTGAGCTTCGTCAGCGACGATGATTCATTCTGCGATGTGGACGGCTGATCCGTTTTGTGGTCTTGAGCGTGGGAAAGCGGAGCGAATGCATCGACAAAGGTCTGAGCGGTGGCAGTCGACAAGGGCTCATCCGACACGGAGAAGCGCCGAATGCTCTCGATCAAGTCATCCTGCATCGGAGCTACCTATGTCAGGGGACGAGGTACTCTTGAGCGTGGGTACAGGCGATAACAGAGGAGTTGGCTTGAAGCAGGTCTGAAGATCAAGTGTTGGTCTCTCTCTCGAAGCCAACAGCGGCGGTGCTTCGCGCTTCTTCCAAAGTGGAGTTTTCAAGTCCGGAAGTCGGATCTGGCTAGGCCTAACATTCTTGAAGTTTGGGCGCCCCTCGTTTGGTGCGTGGCCGCTGCGCCATGCTCCGTCAGGGTAAATTTTTCCTCAAAAGTGACTTTTGGAAGAAGTGCTTCGACATCGACCCATTCACTCAACCCATTCACTCACAACTCTCCTCGTCATCGTCACATCATTATCACCCATCATCCCCTCTCATCACCCACGCTTCTTACACCAGTCAACGACTACCATCAGGTGCTGTCGTACCGCGTATCCGCTGTCTCCGACTTCATTTCCTGGTCTTCGAAGCGCATCGCACCCGAGCTTGGGACCGAAACCTCGTCATCCGCAGCACTCGACCTCGACTCAGTCCTCGGCGTTTGCGAGCAGTGCAACTGGGAGTACGCGATCAGACATAACCTGCTTTAAGATCGATCACTGTCCGACCTACATCGACTGGCGGCTCTTCGCTTCAGCTTCACATCCTCTCCCGAAGTCCAGGGCACGATCACAAGCGCAATGTTGAAGGACACATAGCTGGCCACGTATCCGAACACCAACGAGAGCGCCGACTCTGGACACTTCCAGACCACCGAGATCCATTTCGAGGGTCTTCTTTTGCAGGTACCATCTTCGACGTGGCAGCATTCTCTGGCTGTTCACCGTTTCCCTCTCGCGCTAGCCACGTTCGGCTCCACACAGCTTCCACCATGAAGCAGCTCGTATCTCAAGATGCGCCCAAAAAGATCAAGCACATCCAGTTCGGTGTGCTGTCCAAGCAGGACATCGTCAACATGTCCGAGATCGAAGTCACCACACGAGATCTCTACACCATCGGCGAATCAGAGCGCAAACCCGCAGCAAACGGTACTCTAGATCGACGGCTAGGTATATCAGATAAGAACTCCCTTTGCGAAACATGCCACCTCAAGATGGCAGATTGTGTCGGCCACTACGGCTATATAAAGCTCGTCCTTCCCGTCTTCCACGTCGGCTTCTTCAAGCACACGGTCGCCATTCTACAGAGCATCTGCAAGAACTGCGCAACAGTTCTGCTCGAAGAGCCAGATCGTCGAAAGTTCTTGAAGCGATTTCGTCGTCCAAATCTCGAGAACCTCGATCGTACAAGGACCTTTAAAGCTGTCAACACCATCGCGCGCAAAGTCTTGTATTGTCCCAAGTGCGGCTACACCAATGGCACCGTCAAGAAGCAAGGTCAGCTCAAGATCGTGCACGAGAAGTTCCGCGCAAAGAAGACCGCAGCAGAGCACGACGAGTTCAAGGCATCCTTCTCGACAAACGTCAAGATGGGCAACGGTGACATCACACCACATCTCAACAAAGCGCAAGAAGATCTCAACCCGCTCAAGGCGCTCGATCTCTTCAAACGAATCTCGGACGAGGACTGCGAGCTGCTGGGCTTGCGGCCGGAGTTCGGTCGTCCTGAAGAATACATTTGGCAGTACATCTGTGTGCCGCCAGTCTGCATCCGTCCCTCCGTGGCGCAAGATGGCGCCACCAACGAAGATGACGTTACCATCAAGCTCACGGAGATCATCTTCACAAACAGCCTGCTCAAGCTAGGGCTTGTCAAGGGCGGCAAAGGAACTACCACGAGCCAGCTTGTGCAGCAGTGGGAGTTTCTGCAGTTGACCGTTGCTCTCTACATCAACTCAGAGCTGCCAGGCGTGCCTACACAACCAGGCCAGAAACCAAGTCGCGGCTTCTGTCAGCGTCTCAAGGGCAAGCAAGGTCGTTTTCGTGGCAACTTGTCCGGCAAGCGTGTTGACTTCTCCGGTCGAACCGTCATTGGCCCCGATCCGAACCTCAAGATCGACGAAGTCGCCGTACCTCAGAGAGTGGCCAAGATTCTCACATACCCCGAGCGCGTCTTCGAGCACAACATCGAACAGTTGCGGCAGGCCGTTCGCAACGGCACAGACGTGCATCCCGGTGCCAACTATCTCATGGACGGAAAGACGGGCTTCAAACGTTTCCTCAAGTTTCCAGGCATGCGCGAGGAGCTCGCGCAGAAGCTGCGCGTCGGCGACATTGTAGAACGACACATCCGCGACGGCGATATCGTGCTCTTCAACCGACAACCCTCGCTCCACAAGCTCTCGATCATGTCGCACCGAGCCAAGATTCGACCATGGCGCACTTTCCGCCTCAACGAATGTGCCTGCAACCCGTACAATGCCGACTTTGACGGAGATGAGATGAACATGCACGTTCCTCAGACTGAGGAGGCCAGGACGGAAGCCACCATCCTCATGGGTGTCAAGCACAACTTGGTTACACCACGAAACGGAGAGCCTATCATCGCCGCCATCCAAGACTTCATCACCGCCTCCTACCTCATTTCGAAACGAGACCGATTCTTCGACCGAGCGCAGTTCTCCCAGATTTGCAGTTACTTCGCGGATGCGGACCTGCACATCGATCTCCCGCCGCCGGCCATCATGAAGCCCGTCCGCCTCTGGACAGGCAAGCAAGTCATGTCGTGCCTCATCCGACCCAACCGCAAGAGCCCACATCTCGTCAACCTCGAAGCACAGTGCCGAACTTTCGAGAAGCCGACGGGCGGCCATCCCAAGGACATGTCGCCTAACGACGGCTGGCTCGTCATCGTCAACAGCGAGGTCATGTGTGGTGTGTTCGACAAGTCCACCGTGGGTGACGGCAAGAAGAACTCCGTATTCGGAGTCATGCTGCGAGACTACGGCCCAGACGCAGCCATCACAGCCATGAACCGACTCGCAAAGACGTGCGCTCGCTGGCTCGCCAACCAGGGCTTCTCTCTCGGCATCAGCGACGTCATTCCTGGCCCGCGCCTGCGCAAGGACAAGGACGCCAAGGTCGAAGCCGCCTACGCCGAGTGTCTCGACCTGATTGAGAAGGCCAAGCACGGAAAGCTCGAAAATCTGCCCGGTTGCGACCAGGAGCAGACGCTCGAGAACATGATCTCCGGTGTGCTCTCCGGCGTTCGTAGCGACGTCGGTGAGATCTGCATGACCGAACTCAGCCGACACAACGCGCCCTTGGTCATGGCTGTCTGCGGTTCCAAGGGATCCAAGATCAATGTGGCGCAGATGGTCGCCTGTGTCGGCCAGCAGATCATCGGCGGATCGCGTGTACCCAACGGCTTCCAGGACCGATCGCTGCCACACTTCCCCAAGAAGTCCAAAGATCCACCGTCCAAGGGTTTCGTGCGCAACTCCTTCTTCAGCGGATTGACGCCGACTGAGTTCCTCTTCCACGCCATCTCGGGCCGTGAAGGTCTCGTCGACACGGCCGTCAAGACTGCCGAGACAGGCTACATGCAGCGTCGTCTCATGAAGGCGCTCGAGGATCTGTCCACGCATTACGATCTCAGTGTCCGCAACTCGGTTGGTGGTGTCGTGCAGTTCATCTACGGAGACGACGGCCTGGACCCAGCAGAGCTCGAGGGCAACGCTATGCCCATCGAACCATTCCGACTGTGGCGTCACTGCTTGGCGATCACGCAGCACGTCCCAGGCCGCGGTCTCTACCCTTACGAGATCATGGAGCTGGTCAAGCGCGAGCTCCACAGCGATCGTTTCGTCAACACGTGCACGCAAAAGTACCTCGATTCGGTGTACGAGTTCATACACGACAACGTCTTCAGCAAAGCGGTGCGCATTCGCCAAGCGTTTGGCATGTACGGCGCGGAAGAGCGCGAGGAGCACTGGGACGAGCACACGGATCTCTCGATCGGCGCCGACCGCGCCGCGCGTGCGATCGTCAACAACAAGACCAAGATCAAGGAGGCGGCGATCCTCGAGTTCCTCAACCTGTGCTACATCAAGTACATGAAGGCCAAGATCGAGCCGGGTTCTGCAGTCGGCGCTGTTGGTGCCCAGTCGATCGGCGAGCCGGGCACGCAGATGACGCTCAAGACGTTCCACTTTGCCGGTGTCGCGTCGATGAATGTCACGCTCGGTGTGCCGCGTATCAAGGAGATCATCAATGCGGCCAAATCGATCAACACGCCCATCATTGAGGCGAAGCTCGTGTCCGAAAAGTCGGAGCACGCAGCGCGAATTGTCAAGGGCCGCATCGAGAAGACGTACCTCGGTGATATTGCGTCGGTGATCGAGGAGGCATGGGCGGCGCAGTACACGTACTTGGGTGTGCACATCGACATGGAGGCGATCCAGAAGCTGCAGCTCGAGATCACGCTGAACGATATCAAGTGGGCCATTGTCAATGCGCCCAAGCTCAAGATCAAGGAGGAGCGCGTCATGGTGGTGCCCAAGAAGAACCGCATCCGCATCTACGTGCCTCCCGAGGGGCCCGACAAGGAGAGCGATGTGTACTACAACCTCAAGGCGCTCAAGCGAGCTTTGCCGTCTATTGTCGTCAAGGGCATCCCGCAGGCGACTCGCGCAGTCATTTCGGACGACAAGGGCACGCGCAAGCTCCTCGTCGAAGGTTACGGCCTGCTCAAGGTCATGACCACCGAAGGCGTCATTGGCACGCAAACGCACACCAACCACGTCATGGAGATGCAGACGGTGCTCGGCATCGAAGCCGCCCGAACATCGGTCTATCGCGAGATCGAAACGACCATGTCGGCGCACGGCATGAGCATCGACCCGCGCCACATCATGCTGCTGGCCGACACCATGACGTACAAAGGCGAGGTGCTGGGCATCACGCGCTTCGGTGTTGCCAAGATGAAGGACAGCGTGCTGATGCTGGCGAGTTTCGAGAAGACGACGGATCACCTGTTCGATGCTGCGCTGTTCGGAAAGAAGGACGAGGTGCTGGGTGTTAGTGAGAGTATCATCATGGGCAACCCGGCGCAGACGGTGGGCACGGGCATGCCGGCGTTGGTGGTGCCCGCGCCGCAGCTGCCGCCTAGAAGGGCGCTTCTGTTCGATCGTTGATGGCCCGACACCGTGCCATTTGCAGTAACATGTTCCAGTCGCAATCGAGATCACAGTCACCACAGGCAGCGCTTTGCGAGTGTCTCGCTGAGGCCTGATTGAGATGAGGCGACCCCGCCCCTCGAAGGTAATCATTCCTCAAACCTGATAGTGTTGACCAGACTGCCGACACCATGCGAGACCCAGACCCTGAACTTGTCGCCGTCCTTGAGCATCCGTCGCGGCTCCCTGTACCAGCCCGTACCTGCGGGAGTCCTGCGTATCGCGAAATGAGACGGGAAAAGAGGACGATATTCGCAGATGAGAAAGATGGTCAGCATTCAATTTATTCCGGGTCGGCACGCATCTGAGACAACTTGCCCTGTGAGAATGATCGTGCCGGCTTTGAGCGTACTCCTTCGGCTGAGGGTCGAGATCAGCTGAGGTATTGAGAACGCCATGTCGCGCACGAAGCCTCTTTGCACAATCTCGCCATTGAGTTCGCCCTCGATCTGGATGTTGCCCCAGTCCTCATCCTGGAGAGCATTGGCGTTTACGATGACGGGGCCGAGGGTGCAGCACCCATCGAAGCTTTCCCCTGGGCTGGAACGGAGAACAACATGAGTCGCAGCGAGAATGCCGAACACCTGGTCCATCGCATCCTCAGGGCTGACGTTCTTGCAGTCGTGCCGGATGACTACGGCTAAATGAGCTTCGTAGTCCACGTCTTCGGTTGCGAAGTCCTCAGGGACGATGATGTCCTCGCCATGGTAGTCTATCGCCGTGGTTGGTCTGAGGATCGCCGTCGGCTTTTCGGGGATCTCGAGACCGGCCGCAGCTGCAAAGGATCGGTAGTTGACGCCAACGCAGTAGACCCTGTCCGGCATAAAGACGGGCTGGCCACACATCAGTTCTTCGAGAAAGATGGGTAGCAGCTCGCTGATCGCCAGCCCTTCGTCGTCCTTGTCGGGGTCTTCATCGCACCAGTCTAGCTCGGCCAGATCCCAAGTCCAATAGTCCTTCATCATGACCGTTTGATGTTTGAAATCAGTCGCTCCAATGTCGATGTCTGGATCCTCCGGCTCGCCCAGCGCATAGTAACTGATTCCCATCCTCCCCCAGGGGAGATACCGGACCATCCGTTTCCATCTTGGCTCGGGTCGCAGCGGTGGAGATGGAGATGGCGCCGGCGGAGGTGCCGTCTTAGCCTTTTGGGAGCGGCGGGCTTCTTGGCGGAAGGTTTCTTAGCTGCAGGTTTCTTTGCTGCCGGCTTCTTTGCTGTGGCTTTCATCGCAGCTGGGATCACAGCTGTTGGCCTTGCAGGCGTCGATTCTGACAGACCCTTGGAAACGTCTTCCTCGCCTGGACTGCGGCGAGCCCTCTTGTGAGAAACGAAGATAATTTCTTCATCTTCCTCCTCAACAGGGTGGGCTGCGCGAGCTAGCGCCGGCGTCGGAGATTTGGGCGGAACTCTACGACGTGGCATGAACCCAATTTGTCCTGCGTCCAACGAAGTGATGCTTTTGACGTCGACGTTGTGTCAGGAAGAAGTGCGGGAACTTGCTATCTGGTCTGTGCAAAACTTGATAGCCGAGCAGGGTCCCGCACAAATCTAACAACTCAAAATTATGCGACCTCTTCATGGTGTGAGCTGCATCGTCGAGCGGCTTCGAGGCGGTCACACCCTCACCGACGCTTCCTAACAACATGACAGCATTAGGATTCCCACGATCTGTATACAGCGGCGGTCAAGACCTACGACGACGCCCCAACCATCTTAACAAACTCCTGCCAAATCCCTGAGAACTTGGCATAGACATCCTCCTCTCCGATCTTGAGATCCGTGATAAACAACCCGCCTCTCGAAGCCAGCACCCTGATGGTGGCATTCACCAGCGCATCAACGCCCATGAAGTTCCTCCCGTCCTTCGTTGTCACATTTGCGCTATCGACATTGTAGAAAATGTAGCTGCGCTGAAAATTGCTCGCCACGGGGACATTGTTCTGAGTCAGCTGCTGGTACTCGCCAAAGTCGAAGTTGGACAGCTTGTCTTCGTACACGACGATGTGGTCTGCGATGCTCCAAAACTTGTCGCTCTCGGGCCAGGTGCCGGGATTGAGCATTGTGATGCCCTTGCGTTGGGCGTACGTTGCGTTGGAGGGCGTCTTGGTGGATACACCCCACGATTGGGACTTGACAAAGTCGGTATAGTTGCGGTACTTGGCGAGGTATTTTTGCGAGGTGATGGTTTCGTCGAAGAAGATGCCGTCTGGGCGAACGGAGCGGGGCCACTTGGCGTAGGTGCTGATGAAGGACTTGACTTGGCTTGCGGAGCGCTTGCCGTAGCCGGTGGGCACGTAGCCAATCAGTTCGAGCGTCTGGTTCGCCGCCGCCGTCGAGCGAAGCTGTTGGATCGCAGAAGCGTAGTCCGAGTCAGGCGCACTGCCGTCGCCAGGACCGGAGTTGGGGTTGATGATGACCAAGAAGGCCGCGCTGGGACTGTTGCGGATCGCAGTGTAGAGCGGATCCCACGCGCCGGGCTCAGGATAGATGTAGAGCGGCACGAGGATGCGTGGTGTCTTGGTGTTGACCTTCTTCGTTGCGGCGCTAGCGACGGTTTGGAGGAGAGCAGCCATCATGGCGATGACGAGCAGCAGGCTGAGATTTCGCATCTTGAGCTATGGACGCGAAAGGGGATGATGATGATGGATGGGAGGCGATGCGTGGAGAGGTTGACTCAAAGAGATGGCTCGCTCCCCTCTAGCGGGTAAGCCGTCAGGGTCCATTCGATCCGTTAGTTCGCTTCAGGTGGCTGCATTTTCTTTCCTGCGGAAGCTGGCTGAAGACGACCATGTTATGGCTGTGTCCGCATATCCTTCTCTGCAGGGTCGATCCCCGAGGCGGAGTTTCGAAGGGCGGGAGCAGCTCTTTTGTTTTCTTTGACAGCTCGGCAAAGGCAAAATTAAAAAATGTTAGGTTCGACCACGGACGAAAGCACGGCGAACAGCGCGGCATTTCCATTTCGCCGGTGAGTGTGGGGCATCCGACCTTCGTTCAACGCTTTGTGTTAGGCGCAGGACCTTGCGCAGCTAGCTACCTTACCAGCTATAAAGGTTCTTTGCGCTGACTGCTGACATCCTCACGCTGTCCTCGCAAGCCGATGCTGCTATCAAGACGTCTCGCAACATCGCTATCGACCTTAGCTAACATACGAAGCAGCACCACCTTCCAACCCAGCCGCAGCCTCATTCGCAACCTCACCATGCACAGCCGCACCCCGTACTCGCGTCTTGTGCGCTTCCACCCGTACATCTTCGGCCGCCTCCTGGGCGAAGATATCTCTCCCGAGGTCAAGATCGGCGAACCGGTCGATCCCACCATCGACATCGGTCAAGTCATGTACCAAGGCTTCCCTGGCGACCCTACCATCAAGATCAACGTCTACTCCGGCAGCTCCATCCTCTCTCCTGGCCAGCCGACCGGTGAGCAGCTCACTCTTGGTCAGCTTCTCGCCCCTCTCTCCCAATCCGAAGTGGGCACCATCCGCTGTATCGGCCTGAACTACGTCGAACATGCCAAAGAAGCCGGTCTCGACCTGCCCACCGTCCCAACGCTCTTCATGAAGCCTGCCACGGCCCTGGCTGGTCCCTGTCCGCAGCCTACCATCATCCCTCGCTCCTTCGTCGCCGACGATGCGGCGGATTGGGAAGCCGAAGTGGCCGTCATCATCGGTCAATCCTGCAAGAACGTCCCCGAATCTCAAGCGCTCGATTACGTGCTGGGAATCACAGCGGCGAACGACGTCTCCTCGAGGAAAGCACAATTCGCCCAATCCCAATGGAGCTATTCCAAAGGCTTTGATGGCGCTTGTCCCCTCGGACCCGCTGTAGTTCCACTCACCGCCATCGACGAGCTGTCCACGGTAAAGATCCAGGCAAAGCTGAACGGGAGTGTGGTGCAGCAGAGCGGATTGGACGATCTCATCTTTGGCATTCCCAAGATCGTCAGCTTCTTGTCGCAGGGAACGACGTTGCCTGCTGGCACGGTGATTCTGACGGGAACGCCGGCGGGGGTGGGTTGGACCGCAAAGCCAAGGAGGACGCTCCAGCATGGGGATGTCTTCTCCGTGACGCTCTCACACGGTGTGGGCTCGCTCATCAACGAGATTCAGCACGAAGAGCCGGACGAGGAGCTCGACGAGTAGATCGCTCATCGAAGAGCATCGGTAGAATGAGAAACTGTTTCAATTGATCTACAGAAGGCATGTGAATGAGGGCGAAGTGTCTTGTATACTCTAGTGTGTATGAGTCTTAGCTCTAAGAGCTATCTAGGCCGGAATCTGGAACGCCCGCTGGGAGCCGCTCGATGTACTCTTCGACTTCCTCATCTCTCCATCCTTTCCACCCTTACCTGGTCTCGGCTTGCCAGTGATAACATCGTTCTCATCGCCATACCTGTACGCGCCCTCCTTCACCCCGTTGGCCTTATCCGCCTTCATCTTGGCCAAAAACGCAAAGTGCCCTCCCACCACGGGTCGCGCCAAAAAGTGAATCAGCGGGTCATGCGGCCACTTGGGGAAATCACCCGTCGTGCTCTCCATCAGGTCCGTAAACGGCGCATCCGTCTTTCCATCGTCGATGAAGCGATACAGCAATTCGATGAAGAGCTTGTGCGTCGCAGGATCGTCCGATGCGGCGGCGGCGAACATCTCCCAGTCCGTCTTGGTCCATTTGTGGCGCGAATCGAGGGGTACACCGTACTGCTCGGCGACACGGGGATACCACGCATCCTGGATCTTGTACACCGCACGTGGAACTAGGTTGAGATCGAGCATGCGGTCAGCGAGCAGGTTGTACACCGTTCCCCAAGATGCGTCGGCTTGGTAGGCGAGCTTTGTGTGGGAGGCATCATGAGAGATGGCGTAGTCCTGCCAGAGCTTGATGTAGCTCGACGAGATGTTGGCGTAGGATCTGGCGTCCTTGGTGTGACCTAGGAGGTCCGCGATCTTGCCCATGGCGGCGATGGCCGCGATTCCCTTGATAGCGAGGTCAGTCTGGTTGGCCAGCGTGCCCGCAAAGTCGTCCGTCGACAGCTGCTCGGCGGGAATCAGACTGTCATCCACCAGATACTGCGTCCACTGCTTCATGATCGCATAGTGATCGTTCAGGAAGGGCTTGGCTTTCGACTTGCCTACCAACTGCGCCCAGTGCAGCGTCATCCAGATCATGTTGCCCGACTCCTCAACTTGCATCGGCTCGTCGTTGCCGTCATTGTAACCAAAGGCATTCGGGTAGGTACCCAGATCGTGCACGCACCACTTGTTCGGGTACAGCCCGGACTCGGTGTACTCGAAAATGGGCAGCATTAGATCGCGCAGCATGTCCGGGTTGGCGTACGACAGAATAGGGAAGAGTGGGAAGATGACGTCGACCGTCGACATGTCGCCGTTGGACGAGATTTCTTTGAGGAAAAGCAGCGTGTCGGACGTGTTATACCTGCCCTTGGAATCTTTGCTGACTGTGATCTCGAACGTGGCGAACGCTTGACGGACAGAGAGCTGCGTGATGGCCGCGTACTTGTCACCAACTTCGCCGCCACCCACAGCCGCTCGGGAGTCCTCGAGCACCTGCCTGTCGAACTTCTTGGCCTTTTCGAGGGCAGAGTCAAAGTCGTTGATGAAGAAAGCCACGGCGTCCTGGAGCGAGTCGCCGAATTGCGTCTGCCAGTAGCCGTAGCGGTCTTCCTGGTAGCTCTTGGTCGAGTTGGAGCCGGGGTGTTTGGCACGGATGTAGTTGACGTAAGGAGTACGCATATGGCCGACAGCAAAGAGGGCATCCTTAGCGGCGTGCTTGGCGTCAAAGTCGACTGCAAACGCAAACGAGTTGTCGGGTCCACCGACGGGACCGTGATCGAACGAAAGCTTGCCGTGATCGATGAATTCGGTGTGAACGACGACGTTGTTGTTGTTCCTCGAAGTGAGACCGGTGTGGTTACGAGCGGCATACGTAGCATTGCCCCACTCGGCGCGCTGGCGGAACTCAGTGTAGACCTCGGGGTGCTTGCGCGTGATGAAGAAGACCGAAGTGTCGTTCTTCTCGTAGTACTGCTGGTCGTAGGGCCAGTCAGCAAAGTCGTAATCGTGACCGGTGACCCATCGCTCGTCGATGTCGGTGTACAGCTGAATGCTGCGATTTTTGATGGTGGACTTGTCCAGCTCGACGTGCAGATAGCTGAGAGGCAGAGATTGGCGGACATAGTCGTCAGGAGTGATTGGGGTCAAGAAGGTGACGTTGAACTTGACCTTGTCGGCCTCAAAGGCGAACATGGTACGCGTGGCTGTGTACTCGGCGCGGAGCTGAGTGGCAGCGAGGCCAGCACGCACAAGCGTGCCAAAGCCGTTGCCCATCCACTCGTAGGTGACATTGTCGATACGGATGTAGCCGGACCAGCCAAGACGATAGTCGCCATCGGCGCCGTACGACGAGGTCCAGAAGGAGGTCCACTGGCCAGCCAGGTAGCCGCCATTGCCGACCCTGTTGGGAGGAGTCGAGGCGAGGTTGGAGCCCGAAGGGAGCCAGGCGTTGAGGTAGGGGCTTCGCACAGCCAGCGGGAACGAGGGCGGGTTGACAGGATAGAAGGAGCTTGAGGACAGTGCTTGCTTAGCATTGGTAATGCCAGGGTTGCGACTGGCTGCACTCGAGGTGGAGGCCGAATCTTCTGACATAGCGGCAGGCGAAGCAAAGTTGTTCCCTTCGCCGCTCGTGACGAGGGTAAAGTCAGGCGTGTTGAGCTGACCATCCTCGAGGATGGTGGGCTGGGCCTGCTGGACACTCCACTGAACACCAGGCTGGCTGGGATCCGAGCTGAGGCCTACGAGCTTGTGGTCAGCAGGAAGATGCTTTTCGGAGGGAGGACGGGTGATGTCAGCGAGCGCCTCGAAGAGGGTGGTAATATCATCCGACTTTGCAAGGGACGCATGAGCTTGTTGAGGTCCACACAGCAGGGACACCGCCAAGAGGGCCGAGGCGGTGGACACGGCGACGAATAGCCTCATAATGAAGTGCGAAACCAGATGTTTGCGAGAGATCTACGGGGCTCTTCGATGGTGAGAAGAACTTGGTATCGAAGCTTGAGGATCTAGATCGTATACGAGAGACTTTGCGAGGCCGTGGGACCGAGTCGAGGACCGGTGAAGTGAGGTGTGCCTTGTGGCAGGGCAGATGAGAGGGAACAGCGGGACCAAGAGCGCGTGCGAGTCTAAGGTGTCGAGGCGGTGGTACGAGTCAGCGTGACCACAAGAGGTACGCCAGTTGGAGAAGAAGAAGCTCTCTGGCGTCGTCCGTTCGACTGGACGCTTGGACCGTCGATCGCGTGTGCTTTGACGTTGTGCGCGAGGGGAGGAGGGAAGCGAGGGCCGGTGTGGGGGTCCGAGGGGCTTGAGGAGGGCAGCTGTAGGTGGCTGTATGCTACAACTAGTCTAAGGGGATCTCCGAGATCGTACACAAGCGTGCTCGAGTTGAGCTTGAGGAACGACGGTGGGACAAGATGAGCTGAGGACGAGATGAGGATGAGATGAAGAGAGAAGGCAAGAAACGCTCTACGGGAAGGAAGCAAAGCGGACAAGCCTGATCCGCAAAGAGCACAGACTCCAAGGCGCGTGGGCGGGCCTGCCTGTGTGGGGATCCAGTGCTCTTCCTGTCACACGGCTTTGCATCTGGGGCCCATCCCTCCATGCAGGCGATCCGGCTTGGCCAAGCTGGAAAGTGGAGGCAAAAGAGCCAGAGCCAAGGGTCTTTGAAATAGCCGAGAGAAAAGGGCACTTGAGCCCTTGATCCATGTGCCGTGTGACAGGTGACCGGTCCCTTCCTTGTCCACTGACTTCCTGAGATCGTGCCTTGATTCCGTGCTCATCCCAGTCGATCAGCGCGGCTCCATTTCTGTCTCTCTTTTTGGCTCTCCTTCGCTCGCTCGCCCACGGTGATTTCAACCTCGGCCAAAAGTGCACACGGGGCCCCCCTTCTGGCTTCCCTTTCGCTGCTCGTACACGCCTGACACGGCCTGCATCTACGAGGTTGATGGCCAGCACGACAAGCTCATCGGACGTAGCTCTATTCAGCTCGACAGGCTCAAGCGCAAAGATCCAGTCCGTCTTCTAGATACGCTCGGCAGCTCTCGATCCTTGAGCCTGAGTCAGGGTCCACCAGAAGCGGAGGGGTAAGTTCGAGATGAGCTCATTCAGTGCTACTGCTCAGGCCGTGCTTCCCGGTGCAAGTACCGTATGAAGCGGGGGAAACGACGTCCGACGAAATGAATCGCAGCGTCGAGACCCACCCCACTTTGAGGCGGCGATGCGGGCGATATGCATGCATGCAGGCCGGTCCAATCCGCGCATTGCGGGGAACTCAAAAGCTTCCCAATTTTCGCCTTCACACTGTCAGATCGCGCCTTAGACGGACCTGGCTCCGATGTCAAATGCTCCAGCTCGTTGCTTGTCGACGGACTACGGACGGTGATGAGAGGGGTGTGCATGTAAGCATTCTTTTTCAATGATCGTAACAACAGCAACTGGACAAACGAGCGCTTCACTCTTCATCCTGTGCACTGTTGACCTCCCTGCTGATCCTGTGCACCGCCTTGAGGTAGATCCTGACCGCCTCGGGATCCACACCAGGCGTGATGCCGTGGCCTAGGTTGGCAATGTAGGCTCCACCACCGCCGAAGCCACCCTTCTTGGATCGCAGCATCTCCTCCACCTTGGCCTCGATCGCATCCTTGCCCGCGTACAGCACCGCTGGGTCCATGTTGCCCTGCAGCGCCAAGCGGTGGCCCGCCTCATTTGACCCGCTGGCATCCTTATACGTCGAACCACCCGGCGAGGCGAGCTCCACCACCTTGCGAGCAACACAAGGCTCCACCGTCCAGTCCAGACCCACCACGTCGTAGCCGGCCTTGACCACCTCGGGCAGCGAGTGACCCAGCGCGCCCTTGGCAAACACGATCAACGGCGGGCATGGGATCGACTTGGTCGAAAGAATGTCGCGCACCGAGGCAGCGATCGATCGCAAGTAGGGCAACGAGAACTGGCGGAAGTCGGAAGGCGAAAGCTCGCCAGCCCACGAATCGAACACTTGCAACAGCTGCGCGCCAGCCTTGACCTGGCCAACGAGGAAGTCGGTGCACACATCGGCAATCCTCTGCAGCAGCTCCTTAGACTCTTCGGGATACTTGAACAGCCAAGCCTTGGCCTTTTCGAATGTCTTGCTGCCTCCGCCTTCCACCATGTACGCCATCAGCGTCCAAGGAGCACCGCAGAAGCCAATCAGCGGCACCTCGCCGTCCAGCTTGTCGCGCGTCATCTTGATCGCTTCGTACACGTAGCCGAGCTCCTTGTCAACGTCCACCTTCTTCTTGAGCTTGGTCGAGACGTCCTTGGGCGTCACCAGCGGGTCGGGGAAGTGAGGCCCTTTGGCAGGCAGCATCTCCACTTCCATGCCCATAGCTTGCGGCACGACCAGAATATCCGAAAAGATGATGGCGGCATCCAACAGTCCCGTGTAGCGTCGAATGGGTTGCACCGTGATCTCGGAAGCCAGCTCGGGGTTTCGGCAGCATTCGAAAAAGTCGTGGTCTTCTCGGATCTTGCGGAATTCTATGGGATGAAAGAGGGACGATCGGAACAGGCATGCTGAAGGTCAATATACTGGATCCACGTAGAGCAAGAAGGGAGCGATGTCATCGCAAAAAGCAGACATGCTTTAAGGCCTCGTCGAAGTGGCCGACTACTCACCTGGAAGGTATCGGCCAGCCTGGCGCATGATCCAGCACGGGGCTCGCTCAGTCTGGTGACCACGAGCAGCGCGAATGATCAAGTCATTCTTGAGTCCCTCTTCGGGCTTTCGGCACTCCTTCTCCTTGCGGTGGGTGAACGACTGCAGATGCTGCATGCCTGGGATCTTGGACATGATGACGAGCTGTGAGCGCTAGTTGGCGGAGATGTTGGCTGCCAGTCAGTCGCCTTTTTGAGGATGAAATTCGAGACTTGTAGAATGCGCGCCTTCGACAGGATCTAGCGAATGCAACAAGGAGGTGAAGCGGCAGCAGGTGATGGTCAAGAGGTAAAGATGTGATGAACCTTTCCGAGATTGCCAGGTGGAGCTTGACGCAGCGACTTTTTTCAACGGGTCAATCGGGCGTCTGTGCTTTTTGGCAAGGTGCGTGCGCCTTTTCTTCTAAAATTGCGCCAGACATGTCAGAGTGGTGTTGGTCAGACGAGTCGAGTACACCTCTCAAGCTTGCTTCGACAATAGAATAAGCTCGGCACAGTCAGTGTCACTCAGCATCGGCAGCAGCAGCAGCAGCAGCAGCAGCAGCAGCAGCAGCAGCAGCAGTAACGACGACAGCTCGAGGATCCAACATTCGTCCAACATAGAGTCTTGCAAGGGAACGATCGTGAATCAGATTCAGACGGTATCGGGGGTCATGTATAGTATACAAAGAATACAGGCTGCGCTGTCCGAGGGACGCGGCAAGCTTGGAGCAGGTTGGAGGTAGCGGGCGATATGGAAGTATCTTCGCGTCGTTGCTGTCGAGGGGCTGCAAAGACTCCGTAAAGTACAAAGCCCGGCGGGCAAGCAAGGCTGGATGGGAGACGAGACGAAGGGCCAATGGAGCAAGGTGACCAGGTCAAGACGGCGCACCTTACTGCTCGAGCGGTGCGCTCTCGGCCATCTCGGCCTCGTGGTCCTTCTTCTGCTGGCTCCATGTCGCCATGTTCTCTGTCGTCTTGTCCTGGTACACGCGCCTCTGCTCGTCCGTGAGCGCCTTCCAAGCCTCGGACACCTTGCCTAGCACTTCGGCGTACGGCATACCGGGATGCTTCTTGCGGATCTCCTGTCGCACTTCGTTTTGGAAGAGCAGGTAAGCGCTCGGTGGTCGCTTGGGCGCATCCGGGTCACGCAGACGCTTCTCCTTGCGCTTTTGCAGCTTGCTCAGCTTCTTAGCTGTCTTGCCATTGGCACCGGCGGTAGCAGCTGCGGCCGCCGTATCCGCGCCCGGTGTCGGTACGCTCTGATGCGAGCCGTTGGCGATGCTGAGGAAGTCGAAAGTACTTGGCACGCCCGCAGCACCACCCGCAGAGACGTTGCCTTGCTGTGCAAGCACGAGCGCGGCCACGTTGGGGTTCTGTCGTGCCACCACCTTGACAAAAGCATCGCACGAGTCGGCGGCGTGGCGGAGCTGAGCAGAGAGCCGGCTCACCGCGTCGAACATCTGTGCACGAGAAGCAACGAGGCATGGTCAGTCCTAATAACTCAGCTTGAATCGTAATGTCGCGGCTAAATCATCACTCACACTCTGTCGAGCGATAAAGATATCGTCGCCCTGACCTGTGTGGCCAAGAGCCGGGTTGAAAGCGGCATGCTGATGATGCGCTGGTTGATGGTGCTGGTGCTGATGCGATCCGGCGTGGTGCTGATGCGATGCATTCGCCACTGAATGAGTGAGCAGACCGTACTGGTCGAAGCTGGCGGCGTTCATGGCGGAAAAGATTGTGGCAGGCGAGGCGTCGACGAAATCGGACGCTGCGACGATGACCGGGAGACTGTGGTTGGGAGAGCTACGATCGAGGATTCGCGGCAAGGGAGGTTCCGGAGACGATAGCAGCAGACGCGACGGAGACGGTGCGGATTATGACGGGCAAGGTCGAATACGGTAGGAGCAGGCGCGAGAATGATGTCGAGAAGGTGTCGAGTTGCAGATGGCGTTGGCGTTGACAGGCGCGTTAAGGTGAGAGAGAGAGTCGAAGGCAGCAGCACACAAGAATGTAACACGTTGGGTCAATAAAAGCACCACAGCAGAACGAGAACGATGGCCCGAAGCGCAGGAACGAGAGCCAACCTCCGACAGCAATGGCAAGCTTCATCAAAGAGGGACACGCGAGGCCGGACCAGGCACGTCAGAAAGGCAAGCAAGCGAGAGAGGAGAGCAACAGCGCGTAATGCAAGCAAGCCAGGGTTTAAGACGCGTAGCACGCGAACCGGCGACACCACGCTACACTGTAGCCGCTCTGATCCCACCTTGCAGTCCTTGGACAGCCGTTTCTTCTCGCACCTTGTTCCTCAACGAGCGCTCTGGTCCATCCCATGTCAAGATCACACCCTGAGCGTTGAGCAGGGATGGCGCCGGGAAACGGCATCAAGCTTGACAGCTTCCAGGGTCCAGAGTCTGGGGAACCGCAGCCTCGGACGCCTTCGCTTGGGGCGAAGCAACAGAATCGGGCTGCGACAGAACCTTAACAGCAAAGCAGCACCGAGAGGAGGCCAAAGTCGAAAGGGACACTTACCTCGCTGAAAGGAAAGGAGGCGATACACAGAAAGGAAAGCGTCGAGCTCGGATTGATTTGCACGATGAAGTGATGCAAATGGTATGCTTGTATGGATGGTTTCGATGGGTTTGAAAACGATGGAAATGGTGCGTGGAAAGGAAGGAAAAGGGGGATTAGAGACGGTCAAAAGGGTCGTGGTATTTGTGCAATTCGAGCTTTGCCTTGAGTCAAGAAACACTTGGAACGTGCTTAACCCTCACTTGAAGTACGCGACACGCTAGGTTCAAGTTGCCCTTCCGCTGCTTAAATCAAACTCGAAATCGGAATTCCCCGTCGAAATGAGTGTTTTTCAATTGGCGATTAGCGCGTCTTTGTTAGACTATTGATATCGAGAAGCTGCAATTTCAAATCGGCCGGCTGAGGAAAATGAAATCGGTCCTCTCCTGGCCAAGTGGGTTCCGTGCTGAGTCGGAAACGCAGCTGCGATTGACAAGTCCATCTTATCGTTCCTACTTCCATCAACGCCATTCAGCCTTTAGCCTCGCCAGCCCAAATTGGTCTTGAGGTCTCGAACTTCTCTGACGCCAGCGGTGCGCACGCTTTCAGCAGGCATCAGCTTCCTTCGAACAGCGTTGCGGAAAGCGGTCAAGTTGGCTGCGAACGGGTTCTTAAGGATCATCTAACTGCCTATCTTTGGGTGGAGACATTACAAGACGGAGGCTTCGACTAGCCTTTGCTCCCCGTCGCTGCTGTCGCTGCTGCTGTCGCTTTGGCTGACTAGTTTCACAGCTTGCGCTTCCCGCAGTCCCCGCACTTGCTAGGCACGCATACACGGCGCCGGTCAGACGAGATCGGTTACGGTCCAAAGTCAGAGCAGGTGAATTGTTGCTTGCTAGAACGTGAGCTCTAAAGATAAATCTTCGTGTCTCTGCGACTGTCATTGCCGTCCAAGGGGAAGGCATGTCGGCGCATTGGACCACGGAGACTTCCATCAAGCTCGAGTGCGGCAACGACGCTGTCTCGCCGTCAGACGAGGCTGCCGATCCCAAGTATTTGCACCCCGTCAAGGTCCCGAACACCAGATCCGTAAGTGTATACATCATCCCTCTCCCTTCTCACACTCTCGCAGTGGCAGTCTGGGCAAGTCAGATCGAGCTCGAGCAGAACACACTGCTTGGGAGAACCACAGCGCTTTGCATTTATTTGAGTCTCAGAAGAAGCGCAAGCTCGCGGTCCCCGCAGCTTGCTGGAAGCGGCACCTTCACTTGTCGTGCTTTTATGTCGGCAATACTGGAATTCAATGGATCAGCATATCACCAAACGAGTGCATTCATGGAGTCTCCATGACGGTGGTGGCGATACATGCTCGATTGGCGTAGACCTGGGTGAATGCTCGGATCGAAACGACTCGTTGGAAGCAGATGTCTTTCGCATGAAGGCAAGGTCTGCGAGGCAAAGCGCGGGTCGTAGTGCCCAGCGGACGCCGCAAAATTTCAGAGCTGCCAAGTCGCCTCTCCAACGGTCTCTCACTGCCGAAGGCACGGAGGATTTTCGCAGCAGATTTACATGTCAGTCAAGCGGACGTAACATCTCTAAAAATCGGCCTTCGTTATCGACTTCTGCCTTCATCTTCGAGCTTACGCCACATGGTGTCGACCCATGTCACTCAAGGACGACGTTGCTTCAGAGGACTGTTCGACGTACAGGCTGCTGTCTCAGCTGTCATGCCGCTGCTGATATCGCCTCAAATTCTTCCTAGTTATTCTCTTTCGTAGTATGGGCAAATCGCTGACCTCTCCTCTTCCCCCGTGTGAAACGTTCGCATGCGCTGTGGCTGGCCATTCTTGCTCACACCTTGGGTCTCGCCTTCGCTATTTGCAGTCGATCGAATCGTAGCTGCGATCTGTAGGCCTGATGGTCCGCCAAAGCCTTCCAAATACCGATATGGACCCGACATCAGGGTACGACTCGTGGCTCATGCAACAAAACGGCAATGTACAGCCGTCGTGGCAGCTTGGACCCAATGCGGTCTCGCAATCGAGCATGCCAGACTCAGCAGCGCCAATGTACGCAGCCTCCCCATCATCATCGAGTGGGCCAGCGGCTAGCTCACTGTATCCAGCGCTTCCTGGACCTCACGGCCAATACATGCAGCAGCCTGCCTCATCCTTCCAGCAGCAGCAAGGCGGGGTCTCGTTCCCGCCACAAGTGTATTCTCATCATCAGCAGCAGCACCAGCAGCAGCAGCTATACGGATCGTTCTCGAACATGGCGAGCATGCCCTCTTCCGGGATTTATCCAGCTGCGCCCTTGTCGATCGATGAAGCGACCTTCAACGAGCTGCGAGCCGCCTATCCAAACACGCCGCCGGACTTCCTCATCAATGCCGTGCTCCACTCTCCACAGCATTTTCCCGCGGCTCAGCTTGCGCCTCCGCCTCAGCCTACGGTGTATGCATCATCGCCTCACTCTTATGCCTCCGCACCATCGAACAACGAGCAGTTCCAATCGCAATCAGATCACTCCCTTGCGAATGCTCTGACGTTCTCAAGTCCCTCCTCACGGCCTGCGAATCAGTCGTCCGGCTCTATCAATGGCATGCCACAGTCGGTCGCGCCACCTCATCAAGCTCAAGCCGGTTCGTCGGATGTTGCTGCGCCAAGCACAGCATCCTCGTCAAGCGCAGGCGCCAAGGATAAGCAACCCAAGCTGCGTCAATCCAAGCTTGCTTTCCTGCCTGGTGTCGCCAAGTCTCTTAGCCAAAAGGAAACGCCACTGCCGCCGGCTCCGATCGCGACGAACACGCCGACAACGAGCGTCGGCGCAGAAATCACCGTGATCACGGACTCGGGTTCTGAGCCCGGAACGCCTCCCCTTCCTCCGGCAAAGGCGTTGTCGAAACCCTCTACAAAGGGCAATGCTGGCGCTGCTGTAGTCAAGGGCGGTGCCGACGCAAAAGGCGCAGAGGCCAGGAAACTATGGGAGATGGTCAAACAGCCACTCTCGCGTCTGTCGGTGGAGCGCGAGCCTGCCAAAGCGGTCCACAAGTTCGTTGCACCTCTCAGCGATCTCGACCCGGGCGGCAAGTTCCGGAACCCCAGACCTACGGCAGTCGAGGATCGCAAGATCATCCTCGACATGCTCAACAGCATCGTCAAGCTCGAGACTGGCAAAGGCTACAGCAAGACCGGTCGAGAAAGGTTCTTCGCCGCCCTGATGGGCTCGTATGCTGCAAGACACATCCTCTCCGCCTGGCTGCGCGCGACGACGCCACCAAAGAAGGCCTCTCAGGACGTAGTGGACGAAAGTGCAAAGTACCAATCCACGCTGCCCCCCCTTCTCAGCATTCTTGCCTTCGTCGAGATGAAGCGAGACTATCTGACGGACGATGCAGCCCTCGGCAAGGCCATCACGGGTGTCTCCTTGCGCGCTGTGGATCCTTCAGCGCGCAAAGCGGCACAAGACATCAAAGCCAAATGGACAAAAGTGGTAGAAGATGCTGACACCAAGGCGGCTGCTCCGCCACGTCCCAGTCCGTCCGCCCCTGCAAACGCTCCGAGCACGAAACGGAAGCCAGCAGATGGCGCGGCAACGGCGGTCGAGGGAGCCACGAAGCGTTACAAGTCGGCCTCGGCCGCGGCGGCCACCTCCACAAGCGCGAAGGCAACCAAGGCGACCCCATCTTCAGCCGGCACATCCACCGCCGCCTCGAGCCGGCCGGCACCCGCTCAGGCGGGTGTTGACTTCTTCGCGGCTGGTAGCGTCAAGAAGCAGGTAGTCGCAAGACCGCCTTCGACCGCCAGTGCCGCTGGGCCAAGCCGTCCATCTGCTCATCACAACGTCATGAGCTTGATTGACAAGGTCAGCGGCGGCGCTGGAAGCAGCCGCGCTGCATCTGGCACATCGACTGCGCAGCCCGCCAGCTCACAACTCAAGAAGAAGGCGCCGAAGCGTGTCAGGTGGAAGGAGGACAGCGAGCTCGTAGCGGTCAAGCTGATCGAGCCAGCCGACTATGGACAGGGCGAGATGGACGAAGAAATACACATCGAAGGAGCAGGGGACAAACGTCACGAGGGTGCGGCGCTCAAACAGACGGTGAGCACAATGGAGGCGCTGATGGACTGGCAGGAGCCGCGTGAGCTCTCGTTGGCGGTCGACTCAGACCCCATCGGCAGCGAGTCCGTCGAAGGACCGTTCCAAACGCAACGACACGCTGGTCTCGAGAGAACTGCGACCGCGGACGGAGAGGAGGAGTCTGGCGGCGTGGAGGAAAGCAATCTGGAGCAGCCTGGCTCAATTTCAGAGACGCCGGCAGAACTGGCAGGAGCAGAGACTGCCGAGATTCCGACGCCGTGGATGGAGGAGGCGGAAGCGGATCTCGATGTGACGGGCGAGGGCCAAGGCATTCACGAAGTCGCGGTCAAAGATGAAGGAGCACCGAATGACGACATGAAGACAAGCGACCACGCCGCAATTCCAGCCGCAGCCGATATCAGCGCGCTGCTGGCCAAGGTGGGTCAGACGGTAGGCGCGGATGCCAGTGCGATCTCGAGCACCGGAACGCAGACCGCAGCGCCAGCTCCGGCTCTCAACTTTGACCTGACGCAGCTGCAATCTATCCTCAATGCGGCCAAGGGGGCCGACGCCAATTCCAATACGGTCAATGCGGCGTTGGCTTCATCGAATGTTACGAGCGACAACCTGTCCAACCTGCTGTCGAGCCTCTCGAGGTCAAATGGGCAAAACGTCCCCAGCACTTCTGACGCAGGCGAGCAGCCGAGCTACTGGCAGCGGCCCCAGCGCGACAATGTCCCAGTCAATGCTGCACAGGAGGAAAGCTATCCGGGAGAGTTCCAGGGGGATTACCAGCCGGACAGGAAGTCGTCGTACAACTACGGTCAAACGTCAGCGCCCAGAGGATATCGATATGGAGGAGGCGATAATGGCGGGTGGGATTCAGAGCAGTCCAGCTATGGTGGATACCAGTACGGCGGATCCGGAGATGGTGGACAAGGTGGCTACGGCGGCGGTGGTGGTGGAAACGGTGGTGGCATTTGGCAGTCGAAGCGCCACACGGTGCCCTGCAAGTTCTTTGCGCAGGGAACTTGCCGCAATGGGTCATCGTGCAACTTTCGTCATTGAAGGAAATGGTTGGCAGACAAGCAATGGAATGCACTCGAGGATCGCAACCTGACCACAACCAACCCATAGCGTGCGTTTTCCGTATGTCGGTGTGTGATCATGTGAGCTGTCTGATGCAACGTCAACGAGGAGACTGAGACAGATGTCGATGCAGGGTTCTCATGCGGCAGTCTGGGCCCTGCATCCTGGGCGTGTGGCTTTCGGCCCGCTTTTTTGGCCGAGCGTCATGGTGGAGGTGAATTTGTGATTTTATGGGGGAAAATTTCGACGAGGAGCGCTTACACAGCAGCAGCGCGGCTTGTTCCGAGCCAACGTGGCTCAGTCGTGCACCCAAGCCTCGACCGTCGTCACTATCATCGTCAGCATCATCATCATCATTAGCATCGGAAGCATCAAAACCACCAGCATCATCATTGCACATATCTTCAGCATCATCAGCATCACACAGCAGCAAGAGCATATCGCAGACTGCCACCAGACCAGCCGCCTGGCATTCCATTGAACCCGCTGGCGAGCCCGCTGCTTTCCTGGAAGCGAGCAAATATCACCACTCGGTCTCAACGCACGTACAGCGCTATCGCAACAATGGCGGCACCAGCATCATCTTGGAAGGAAGCAGAAGAGAGCGTGCTCTCGTGCACAGCTCAAATCATGGACCAAGCTGCCGAGCTATTCCGCTCAAAAGCCATCACAGACTCGTCGTACACATTCGAGAGCAAGGTCATTGCTGGCTCGACGCCAGGCAAGCACTTCCGACATGTTCTCGACCACCTCAGGATCCTCACCGACGCCATCGAGGACTGGCAAGCTCGATCAAAAAGCGACTCCAGGTCAATACTGCGGGTCGACTATGATTCACGCATCGCCTCCAAAATGCCGCACATCGAGACTTCCGTCTCGGCCTCGCTGCGTGAATTCGAGCGCACAGTGGACCGCCTGTATCGCGTCTTCAAGGGATCCAATGGTCGTCTCTACAACCAATCGCTGCGGTTGTGCGCAACGACACCGTTTGTGGTGGAGATGGACAGCACGGTGGGCAGGGAGCTGTGGTTCTGCGGTCTGCACGCGATCCACCACTATGCGCTGGCGAGGGTAATCCTGGTCAAGGAGCTAGGATTGAAAGGCATCGATGACCAATTCGGCGTTGCACCGAGCACCTTGGTCCATCGGGAATGGCGCAAGGAGTCGAACCGAGCCGATGTCGCGCGTGACGCAGTTTCGCAAGGCAAGAACGATGAGCTCCCCGAGACTGGTGCATCTTCAAGATCATCTCGCTCTTCGCGCAGACGCTCGCAGGGCCACTCTGGCCAGCAGTCTCGGCATATGCAGTCGCGTCGTCAGGATCAAGTCAAGTCCAAGCTGTGACCTTTCCTGCTTCGCTTCAGCTTTGCATCTGCATCGTGCTCGCATAGATCAGCTTCCGTTAATTCTCGTCACTATTCGTTCCTATTGCAATGGAATCTGCAATCCTGCCGGAAGCGTGCATACTTCTTGTTTGTGAGCCGGTGTTTGAGCTGAAGGATGAGGTCCGATGGATGATGGGAGGGGGAATTTGGGTCGTCGGGTCGTGCTTTTATGAACGCATGAATATGGACACGTCAAAAAGGGCTCCGAAAATGAAGGTCTCGAAATGATTGTTCGAGCTGGTGATTCTGGCTCGTTTGGCTGGAGGCTACATAGTGCACTGTCGGTACGGTTCGTCGGTTTGATGTGAAGGCCGCGGATGTGCCCTGTAGTTGCCAAACGGCAACGACCGCAGAGAGCCGGTCCAGGATAAGGTCCGACGTGAGCAGAGCAACGACGGCAGCGAGAACCCAGAGCTGACTAGGACCGGGTACCAATTGGCACTTCCCGAACGGCCACGGGGCTCGTAATCGCCGGCTAGCGGAGCACGAGCATGACAATACCTCCTACTGTATCGCTGAAAGGTCATCGTGGGTTCGATCACGCTGCAACTCAGGAGGACTGCGCAGGGGGTTCTGTGGTGCGTGACGCCCAAGGTGGGAAAGAAGATTCTGTCGGTATGGGCAGCATGGACCGCGGTGCATCAAGGCGAGCTTCCCAACTGCATGCTGTTGATCTAAAGGATGTGCCTGAGCATGTACGCCCAAGACAGGAGTGCGCCTGTAGTAGTCGAGTGCTTATTGAAGCGACTGCAAATGTTTGTCGCCGAAAGTCGCCGACCAAATAGAAGCTAGCCGGAAAGCGTACCATAGCATGCGACTCGTGGCCAGGCTGACGGGGAGCAGCAAGCGAGGTTCGATGGCTGAGATGTCAACGAACCATCAACACACGCTTGCGAAGCTGAGCTAGAAAGCTGACGCGCTGATGAGTAGCGTGCATGTCAAGTCCCGAATATTTTGCGCTGGGACCGCCTGTTAGGGCTCGAGACGAAAAGGGGTGCAGCGTGCATTCTTGCTGATGACAGCTTGGCATGCACGCGTTTTGCTCTCAGGCCTCACGCCTGCATCGTTTGGGTCCAGAAGAACGAAACAGGCGAGCGCTCGTGCAGCAGCAAGGCTAGCAAATCAAATAAAAAAGAAAATAAGTGTTACTTTTTGCAAACGACAAAGTCCGAACGCGCGCGTGTCTGGTCATCAGAGCAGTCTGGTTGAGAGGCTCAACTGCAGAGGAGCTGCACGAGCTTGATACGCGACGCAGCACCGAAATTGCTTGGCATTTCTCGCTAAGAGTCGCGTTTTGCCCTTCCAACATGGCCACTTGAAGACGCAGGCGCAAACTAGCTCCGACCCACACGTTCTGCTCTGCTTTCGAGACAAAAGGCAGGCTCGGTGAGTCGTCGTTCGCTCAACAGCCTCGCCGCGGCACCGCCTCATTGTTCTAAATGGCCAGCATCGGTCTAGATGCTCGCAAATTGGCCTTCTCGGATCTCAGGCCTGCCACGAACGACAGAAACGCAGCTTGAAGATCGGCCATCGCCTCGCACTGTATGCAGTCAAAGTGCCTCTCTGTCTCGAAAGGACTGCACGCACCTGCTCTGCATGGGTTGAGAGATTGTCGTGCTGGCGTGCTTGATGGATAAGAGCGAAACAAGGGCCTGGGCGTAATCATGAAGTGGGTGATACCGAGGCGCTTTGCAGATCCCATTGTACGTGGGATCGACCGGATGGCTTGCATGCAAAGCCTTAAGAAAAGAATGGGAGCTGCTTGCTCACCTTTGATTGCGACTCGTCACTCTTCCAAAAAGCAGACCTGCGAGGGAGCGGCGGCGAGTAGAATCAACCTCGGTACGCACCTTTCCGGCTGTCAAAACCAAACCGTCGCGACCGCGGCGCCGCTTTGCCATCGGACTGGCAAACCTCTCACCTCGCTTGCAGAAAGCGACTGCGTTTGTGCCTCTAGGGAAAGAGAGGTTGCGTAAGGCTTGGCAAAGTGCCTTCGGGAACCAGAGTGGCAGTGTCACCTCTGTCGGCGGCGGGTTGCTTCTAGCCCCCTTCTTATGCCTCTCCCGCAGGCTGGCTGCATTGTGGCTCGTCAATGCGTTGAATGATAGATGTACCATGTGCATCCGATTGGTTTCGATGCGGACATCGACCGGGGTTCGAGTTTTGTCTCTCGCGATCTTGGAATCGATACAGAGTGTTTGCCTTGTCCCTCTCTTTCTCTCTCCGCTGTAGGTGGCTGTCTCTCGGTTGTGTTGGTTTCGCTGGGAACCACTGAATTCCGGAGGTGTCTCTCCGTGTCTCCGTCTCTTTACCCGCCGCACCGCTCGACACCGCATCCGCCTCACCTTCTTCCCTATCATTTGCCTCGAGCAAGCGTGGCGCTCTCCACCAAGGCTGAGTTGTAGGTAATGACGGTATGCTGTACGGACGATGCGGGCGCATCGCTATGAACTCAAAGCAAACGCCAAATCAAAATCACCCAGTTCAAGTGAAATGCTTGTCATCCTTTTTGTTTGCCCAAACACACACACACACACCAACGCAACACGCGCGTCTTGCCTATCCGAATTTCGCCCTCTCTTCCGTCTGTCTCTGCTGGTCTGGCCCCTGACCGGACGACGCACGCATTTCATCTCGCTCTCCCTCGCTCCCTGCCTCGCTTTGCTGCATGCTGTGCTGAGCTGTCCTTCGCCCTCGTTGTCTGGTGTGCGTGTGTCTCTTTCCCTTAAGTCGGCGTCTCAGCTTTGATACTCCTCCGCCCACTTCTTCATCCTTGACTTCCCACCACCTTCACCCTCTTTTTCCCATCCTTCGCCATCGTCGACACTCGCCTGTCTTCGTCCTGTCCTTTCTCACTTGTTCTGTACCAGCTCGACTGTCTTGTGGATATCTGTCATCTATACCACCACCTCCTTCCATCACCGCTTCGTTCACATTAACACGATGAAGGCCGCTGCTGCTCTCCTCGTTGCTCTCGCTGCTGGCGTCTCCGCCCAGTCGTCCGTTCCTCCTTTCCGCTACGGAACTCCCAGCGCCAGCTTCCCTGGTGTCAGGGGCACCAACAGGAACGGCCCCACCAACCCCTCCGCTCCTCAGCTCAACACCCCCATCAACCAGACCTCTGACTCGCGTCTCGCTTCCCTCAACTCGGTCGACGACTGGTGCACCTTCGGCCCTCAGGTGCCCGGCACCATCATCGGCAACGTCGAGGGTGAGACCGTCGCCTACTGCACAAAGGCTCGTAACAACGCCCGTGTCATTGTAAGTTCGCCACTCTACAGCTGGCTCGTCGAAAACTTGGTATCGAGCTGTTCCACTGACCTTGCCCCTCTTCGCTCCTTCTTGCTCACACTTGTTCCGAACTGCAGCCCGATGGCACCGTCACTGCTGCTCACTTCGTCAGGACTCCCCTCTACGTCCAGCTCATGGCTCTTGGTGACTTCACCAAGATCGGTCTCGTCGCTGGTGACGAGGGTGGTGAGCTTGACCCCCACGGTGCTACCAACATGGGCAACCCTGTCGGTGGTAACGTCACCTCCAACATCTCGGGTGCCGACGTCTTCTACGAGGAGTGGATGAACTACATCTCGTACAACCAGCTCTGCTTCCGTATCTGCATCGCCGGTTCCGAGCAGGCTCCCACCGCCCTCGAGTGCCAGCACGAGCTCGACGTCATGGGCTGCAACTTTGTCATGCCCGGCAACTACGCCCCCGACGTCTTTGAGACCTGCGACGGTGACTCTGCCTACCCTCCTGGTCTTTACCCCGAGGCTGACGGACGCACTTCCACCTTCCAGCAGTTCTACACGGGTGTCTACACTGCGGGCGGTACCGTCTACTCGTACACCAACGGTGCTGCTGACCAGACCACCCCCACCGCCGCTTACTCGACCCCCTCCACCTCCAACTGCAGGACCACCGCATCGATCTCCAACGGCATCAGGTCGCTCATTGTCTCCTCGTCCTCGTCCGCCTCGTCGTCCTCGGCCTCTTCGTCGTCGGTGTCCTCCTCTTCCAGGTCCACCTCTGCGGCCCCTGGCTCCACCTCGGCTGCTTCGGGCTCCGGCTCTGGCTCGGGCAGCAGCAGTGGCAGCAGCAGCGGCTCCACCTCGGGCGCTTCCTCGCTCGCCGCTTCCGCTGTCGGCATTGTCGGCTCCGTCGCTGCCGTCGTCGCTGGTGCTTACCTCCTCTAAGCTGCCACCAGCCATTGACAGCGGTGGTGAAAACTGTCTGCTGTCATTTAGCATCGAAGGACAATCCCTCGCCCCCTGACTCTCTCCATCGACTCGGTGACCCAAGGGGCATCTTCAGTCTAGCATTGCTTCCGTTTGCTCGGTCCTACACATTCTTCTTCATTTCCATTTGTCTATTTCCATTTCTGGTGTTCACAATCACTTGGCATTGCTTCCGAGTCATCCACATTCGTTCCGTCTCACATTGACTGCGTTCTGCTGGGTGTGTGCTTCCGATTCGGGGGAGCTGATTGCATGCGATGGGGCTCCGGCTTGAGTAGCAGCGGCAGCCTAGGAGTCTTTTCTGTGCGAGAGAGCAAGCTGCTGTGGCTAACGGGACTGCGCTGTGCTGAGGCAGCCAGTTTGTGCGCTTTGGGAGCGAGTTCGGCGCATGAGGAGAAGGCGTCTGCTCTGGCGCACCCTCCTGCCGATCGGGTCTGTCTTGTCTGGCGACGACAAGCATCTTGTCTACAGCTTGAGCTGCTTGCGCAACGGCCTTCCTGTATGGAATCGATCCGCTGTTTGGGTCTGTGCTTGAGCGTCTGACTGACCTGACATCCCTGGAGTGTTGTGGTATACTGATGACGATTACGCATCCGCATGCCGTCACGACAGCGCATTCCTCGGCGCCGGTGGCATGTTCAATTCTTTCTCCTTCTTTTTGACCATCTTGTTGTTCCATTCCCTCACTCTCGCTGCGTAGAACTCTCGATGCAGAGCGTACTTTGCGTGCAGCGGATGTTGCTTTGCCAGGCTCTCTGCTGCGGTTGGACTTGGTGCTGTTGTCGCTGCCGTCGTTTGCGCTGTCTCTGTCGGTATGGAGCTTATCGCACTCGAAGCTAGACCAGATACAGTCGATGTGACGGTCGAGAAGACGCTTCCTGCAACGCCCATTGCCGTGAACGGCTTCTTTTCCGCATCCTTGTCCTTGGAAGTCTCCTTGGCTTTGAGCTTGGCTTCGTATTCGGCCTTGATCTTGGCGATCTCGTCCTGGCTCACTTTGTCCGGCAGCTTTTCCACCTGAGCTGAAGAGGACGACGCAGGGTCGGAGAGCTTGTTGGCAAAGTGCCGATCCGCTAGATGGGCATGGCAGACGTAGAGGAAATCGAGCGTGGGGATGGACTGCGAGACGAGCACGTGCGGCGAGGCTTTGTGGCAGACAAAGCAGGATTTGGGCGTGCCGGCTTGCCGATGGATGTAGACATTGGCGGGCTTGCCATCTGAGGATGCCATCGTGGGCGGTCGCAGCGGTTCGAGAGGGAAGGTGTGAGAAGGGGGATGAACGATGGGCGCTATCGAAGCGGTGATGCAGGGTCAAGCAACGTGGGAGCTGTGAGCGGGGAGCGAATCGAGATCTGTGATGAGCCAATTCGCCGATCTGCCTCGATCCATGCTCGGACCCTTTTGCAAAAATTTCTCGAAAAATGAACGGCAAAAAAGGAAGAAATTCCACAGAGTAGCGCAGATGAGGCAGCTCGGCAGTCTCCTCGCTCTCTTTTGTTGCCGCATCGGCAACCAAAAGACTCAGCTTCATCTTCTTGGTCCATCTTCATCTCCACCACCACCATCAACTCTTCGTGTTGTGTTCAGCGAAAGCGTCCAAGTCTGCTGCTGTCTGATCACAACCGAATCTCGCAAACACAGACTCACACCGAAGCGATCGAAGCGGATCCGTGCATCGGCCCCTGACTGGATTCGAACAAGCATTCAAACCTTGAGCATCATCACAAAGCGCGGGTCCTAAGCTACAGAGCAGCTGTATTCCACGTCTCCAATCACACAGACACACTCCTGAGGCCATCACCAGCGCGCCGCGCTCTGCACAGCCAAGATGGGTGTCCCAGCTCTTTTCCGATGGCTCTCCAAGAAGTACCCTCGCATCGTATCCTCGGTGCAGGAGGAAGACCCAAAGACCATGCCCGGCCCAGATGGAACCGAAGTCCCAGTACCGCTCGACACGTCGACCCCCAATCCCAACGGCGAGGAGTTTGACTGTTTGTATTTAGATATGAACGGTATCGTACATCCATGTACACATCCAGAGGGCAAACCAGCGCCCGAAACCGAGGAGGAGATGATGGTCGAGGTGTTCGCCTACACCGAACGGGTGGTCAACATGGTGCGTCCGCGTCGTCTGCTCATGATGGCCATCGATGGTGTTGCGCCTCGTGCCAAGATGAATCAGCAGCGATCGCGACGTTTCCGAGCCGCAAAGGAGGCGCGCGAGAAGCACGAGGAGAAGGAAGCAGCCCTCGCCGAGTGGAAAGCGAAGGGGCTGCCGGTCACCGATGACGCGCTCGAATCCAAGAAGGCCTGGGACTCGAACGCCATCACGCCAGGTACGCCGTTCATGGACCTCCTCGCGGCATCATTACGCTACTGGGTCGCGCAAAAGATCAACACCGACCCAGGATGGAAGGACGTCCAGGTGATCATCTCGGACGCCAGCGTGCCCGGTGAAGGAGAGCACAAGATCATGGAGCACATCCGACGTCAACGCTCCCACCCGGAACACGATCCCAACACCAAGCACGTCATCTACGGTCTCGACGCCGATCTCATCATGCTCTCGCTCGCCACGCACGAGCCGTACTTCAAGGTGCTCCGAGAAGACGTCTTTGCCAACGACAACAAGCCCAAGACGTGCAACCTGTGCGGTCAACCGGGTCACTTTGCCGCCAGCTGCACCGGCGCTGCCAAAAAGAAGTCCGGGGAGCACGACGAGATCGCGCCCATCCCAGAGAAGAAGCCCTTCATTCTCTTGGATGTCGCCACGCTGCGCGAGTACCTCGAGGTCGAACTCAACATCCCGCAGCTGCCGTTCGCGTTCGATCTCGAACGTGCGATCGACGACTGGGTGTTCCTCATCTTCTTTGTGGGAAACGATTTCCTGCCCCACCTGCCGTCTCTCGAGATCCGCGACGGTGCCATCGACACGCTGCTCCGCATATGGAAGAAGGAGCTCCCCGCGATGGGCGGATACCTCACCAACCACGGCAAGGTCGAGCTTGGTCGTGCCCAGCTCATCCTCAGCGGCCTCGCTTCTGAGGAGGACGAGATCTTCCGCCGCAGAAAGGAGGATGAGGATCGACGCGAGAACAACAAGAAGCGACGAGAGGAGATGCAGAAGCGTCGCGAGAAGGAGCTTGACGAGGGCAATTTCGGAAACGGCTCGATGGTCGAAGTGATGAAGAAGAGGCCGGCGCACGAGACCGAGAAGCCCGCGTTCAACGGTGTTTCGGCGCAAGAGGCGCGCGATCAGGCCAACAGCAGCAACAAGTCGTACGATCCGCGCAAGAAGGCGGTCGTGCTGGGTGGAGACAACAACCAGGTGGTCAAGGACCGGAATGCCGCGAGGCAGGCCAATATGGATGCTGCCGAGGCGCTCAAGGCCGAGCTGATGGGTGGCGAGGCAAAGAAGGAAGAGCCTGAGGCGGATGCCGAGCCCGCGACGAAGAAGGTCAAGACGGAAGTGGGTGCTGAGGCAGCTGTCAGCGCCACAGACAAGCAGGAGGCTGACGAGGACGAGAAGCCGGTTGTGGCAGGCACCAAGCGCAAAGCCGACGACGTGGACGCAGAAGTCAACGGCGCCGACGCTGTGGTCAAGACCGAAGGCGAGGACGATGCTGAAGCCGCCGACGAGGACGACAATGACGACGACGTCGACGGCAACGAGGACGTCGACCCTGTCGTCACGGTCAAGAAACGCACCGTCAACGCCGACGGCACCGTCGACTACGAAGACACGGTCAAGATGTGGGAGCCTGGCTACCGTGAGCGCTACTACCAGGAAAAGTTTGGCGTCGATCTCTCCGACACCGATTTCCGTCGTCAAGTGGTGAAATCCTACATCGAGGGTCTCTCCTGGGTTCTGGCATACTACTACCAAGGCGTGCCCTCATGGCAATGGTACTACCCCTTCCATTTCTCGCCCTTCGCCGCCGACTTCGAGGACCTCGCATCGCTTGACATCCACTTCGAGCTCGGAGCGCCCTTCAAACCGTTCGAGCAGCTCATGGGAGTTCTCCCCGCCGATTCTCGCGCTTCGATCCCAACCCCCTTCCACCCGCTCATGACGCAGTCCGATTCCGACATCATCGACTTCTATCCGTCCGAATTCGACATCGACATGAATGGCAAGAAGATGGCGTGGCAGGGTGTTGCGCTTCTGCCTTTCATCGACGAGAAACGTCTGCTCGATGCGCTCGCGGACAAATACCCTCTGCTCTCCGACGACGAGGTCCGCCGCAACGGTTTTGGCAACAACACCCTCTTCGTAGGCTCCGAGTCGAGATTGTACGACTTCCTGTGCGAGGAAATCTACTCCAAGCCTCCCACCTCCGAGGTCCTCGTCCCTCTCAACCCGGCCCTCTCCGGGGGCATCACAGGCACTGTCAAGCCTGATCCCGCCTGCGTACCAGGTTCGACATTCAATTCTCCCCTCACAAGCCAGAACCTCGGGGACATTCACAACGACCGCTCGATCAGCGTGCTGTACGATTTCCCGGAGCAGAAAACGCCGCATCGCTCGGTGCTGCTCAAGGGGTTGAAGGTGCCGAAGCGCGTGCTGTCTGCGGCCGAGGTGGACTGGGTCAAGCGTGGCAGTCCAGAGCGAGGGAGGGGCAGGGGGAGGGGTGGACACGGTGGACCCGGGAGGGATTTCCACCGCAACAACCGGGAGCATGGGAATGGGTACGGTGGTGGTGGAGAAGGGAATGGGAACTATCGTAATGGCGGCGGTGGTGGCGGTCGGGGCGGCTACAACGGTGGCAACGGTGGAGGATACGGCGGTCAAGGCGGCCAAGGTGGATACCAGCAAGACTATCAGCAGTACCCGTCCAACGGCGGCGGAGGGTATGGCGGCTACGGTGGTGGTGGTGGCGGCGGCTACGGTGGCGCAGGTGGATACACCGGTGGCGGGTACGGAGGCTATGGAGGTGGAGGAGGGTACGCCCCTGCACCCGCTGCAGCGCCCTACGGTGGCAACGGCTACGACGCCTACGCTGGCTACGGTGCTGGCGGTGGTGGTGGGGGGTACGGCGGCTACGGCGGAGGCTCGTCCTATCCGCCTCCCGCTGGTCCCGCACGCGACGACCGGTACGCAGCGTACACCCAGCCCAGCGCGCACGTCGGTGGCGGGCGAGGGGGTCGTCACGCTCCCCCACCATCTCAACCCAACCCGGCCTACGCTGGGCTGCCAAGCCTCGGCGGTCCACCTGCTGGAGCACCCGCTCCGTACGGCGGGTACGGCGCTCCTGCCGCCGCTGCTCCTGCTGCTGCTCCGTACGGAGGCTATGGTGGAGGTTATGGCGGATACGGCGCTCCTCCAGCTCAAGGCTACGGTGGGCCACCCCCACGAGGCGGTGGTCGAGGCGGTCGTGGTGGCAATCGCGGTGGTCGCGGTGGCAACAACAACGCCTCGTACGGCGGAGGCGGTGGCGCTTATGGGTCGTTCTACTAGCCCTCTTTCCCTCATCGTTCACACCCCCTCGGAAGCGAATGCAATAAGTCGTATCACTCAACGGAAATCTGATCGCTCATACCCAATGTAATCGATTGCCTCACACCTGGTTTTTTCCGCTGCTCGACCACGTGTTGCAATCGCACATCTTGACACTGGAAGGCTTTGTGAACAGTGGCAATGTGACCTCGCTTTCCGCTGAATGACACAAGTGAATGCAGCGATGGAGCACGCACGCTGAAGCGCGACTTGCTCCCACACAACGAAGAAACCACACGAGCTTGACGAGGAAACCAAAATGCAAAAAGATTGAAAAACTATGAATACATGCGAACGAGATGTGCGGACGGGTGACATGGATTAACGAGTGTGCGTGTGTACTGGGAAGGTGGGGGATGCTTGCGGCTGGGAATATGCTTGTGGATGCTTGGAGCGAGTGAAAGTGGCAGAGGAGCGTGAAGGAGACGGGTGGTAGTGGCAGGTTTGGCAGTCGATGCGCGGGGGAGGGCCGTGAGGAACAGCCGATTGATCTAGACGGAGGGGTGTGATGGTGTCTACGACAACCTCAATTTCTCATTCAACCCTTCATCCACCAATCTCCGTCTCTGCGCCTTCGCTCTCGCCTTCCTTACACATAACACCGTCACAATGGCACTTGACAAGCCATATGCAACGACAAAGAGCAGTACGAGCAGGACTTCGCCTCGGGCGCTGAGACCCGCATCGTCCTCCACCAGATGAGGGAGTCTCTTGAGGCCGTCTAGCCTGGGTGCGGAGAGATGCACCCTTCCTTGGGCCGGAACGGCGGTGGAGGGGTTGACAAAGTCATCCATCGAAGTGGTGGTGAGGGGTGCGGGGGGGAAGGCGGACGTGTTGGCCGGAGTCGACTCTTTTCGAACGGCCAACTGGGGCGACGATAGACGTGGAACCCATCGCAATGCCGCACGCGAGCTTTCGCCCACTTTGAGATCCACCGGAAGGGGAGCGGCGATGTTGAGCCACATTGTGCGATACGAGATGGTGGTGTGGATTCGGACAGATGAAGCTGCTGCTGACTGCGATGAGAGAGCTCGCTGTTTGCTGAGATGGGAAGTAGGTGTAGACGAGCACGCTTTCCGCTTTAAAGAGACGAGCGATGGAGAAGTAGCTAAGACGAGCCGTACTGTTGGAGAGATAAGCAGGGGAGGAGGGGGGTTGCACCATTCCGTTCTATCCAGTCGGCATGTATATGTACCTATCTCTTGAGCCACGATGATGCCGGTACATAGGGCAGGGCGGCACCCACGGCTGTCGTCGAAAAAATCTTATCACGGTGACGGTACTCAACTTCCCACGCTAGTGGCCTGCACCGAGGGGCGCACTTCCAACTGTGCAGAATCGTGCTTCCCGTGAGTACATGCATGAAACGCTGTTCGCCATTAATCCTGGGAAAAACACACCTCGCCCTCGCCACGTGGAGTTGGCCGACTGAAAGAGACTGCGACACGGGAAGGCGATTCTTCCGCTGTTTGCACGTCACAATTGGCCAACGCGGGATCGGCGGAGGGCGAAAATCCGTTGGAAAGTTTTCATGCAAAACATGGCCCGAATCGATCGCGCGCCTTCAAGAATCCACGGTAACGTCGCCCAATCGAACATGGCCTTGTGGAAGCAGAGCGGTCCCGAAAGGTGACTCTCGGTTACCACGCGAGAAACCAAGGACACTGCTGAGCTTGGATGCACGTCGCGTTCCTGACAGCGATTCTGACCACTCGCGCTGCGTGAGTGTGGCCACCATCCTACACCGTCGTGCCCCTCCCGTCTTCCTGTCAGGCAGGCGTGTGATAGCAGCGCTGACCGTTCTACGGCTCAAGAGTGACATCGAACACTCCGCTGGCGTTGTCGTCCCCATCGATGGGCGGGTCATGCACGTCGGTTCCTTCCTGTGCTTCCATTGTCCACCCGAGCCATGAAACCGCCATCGGTTCCGAGACCGCCATGACACTCCGCTGTGTGTGTCCGCCTTCGGCTAGTGAATCATGTCCAACATTGCCTCCCGTTCCTGTCTCGCCCTGGTTGCAACCGAGAGACGGACAAGCAAGATACAAGGCTTGCATGGAGATCAGATCTTGTACCGGTACCATCACTGTCCTGCCCTCAACGTGTCGAGGGGCTCGTTGCGTGTCTGTGCGACAACGATGGGGCGAAGCGCCCTCAAAGGGCCGTGCTGGTTGCGTGGCGACCCTTGGTAGAGCGACACCTTCTGCCGCTTGCGACTCCGCTTCTATTGGTGTGACGCATTCACTGCTCCCCGCGATGGGTCGCTTCCGAGACCGCCTCTGGTGGGTAAGGTGACCAATCGTCCCTTCTGGTAGTCCACTCTGCCTCGACGACAGGCAAAGCCCGCTGCGGCGGTCACCTGGTCGTGTCGCTTCTCCGTGAATGCCTCATGCCGTGGGTAAAGTGACCCACCGTTCTTGAAATCGACAGTTGACTCCACGACAGGCAAAGCCCGCCCGCGGTGGGTCACCTGGTCAAGTCGCTTCCGACGGTGGGTAAAGGGACCACTTGGTTCTTCGTGTGGGACTCCGCGTCGGGAAACGTTTCAAACGGCGTGCGGGTCACCTGCCGAGGGGAACCGTCTTCATCCATCGAATGATCGGACACCTGCCTGTCAAACGCTTCTCTACGCGTCTTGTGACGTCTGCGAGATTCTTTCCGCGGTCGAGCTGACGTGACAGCTGGCGCGGGTTCATAGCCGAGATCGCGCGCGCTTCCGCTGCCGCCGCTTTCCACCAACCAGCCGAGCGAACGATCTTTCTAGATTCGATTCGGCTCGCGTACTCCCCTCAAGATGCGGATTCCTTTCGATCGGGCACACGCTTTGCCAGCCGTCCCGGAGACATCGCCATCGAGATGTTTTCCACATTCTTCGAAAGGAAAGTAGTCTTTGTGGGCGTTCCTGAGACGCTTCGATCTGCACGAGAGCACGATCTGACCCTCTTTGCAGCGGTCCCACGCCGCAGCGCGGTCAACATGCCCGGTGGCGCCCGCATCAGACGCCCGCCCCCCTGACCGGTCTCCGCTCGCATTGGGTATGCATCGGCGTACAAACACACCCTCCCGCGCGCCCGCATCTTCGATTCCAAGCAAACGCCTGTCCGAAATCAGCAACGTTGAGCGTCTCGCTTCGTACACCAAACCCTCTCGCAATCGGCGTTCAATACACAATCCCGTGCGCGCCTCATCTTGATTAGCTGCAGAAATTTAAGCGAGACCCCCGGGACCCGCCGCTTCCGATCGCCCCCTGCAGCCTTTTTGACAGCTCGCTTAACCTCCCACACAAACGCCTCCGCGAAACCCTCGCTTACTACTCCAACTCGCTTTCAGACACACACAACACAAACGCGAGTCGGTTGACAGGGGTATATTGCGCTAAGCGGAAAGACCCTCAACAAGCTTCTTGACCACCAACTCTTGCAATCCGAGCGCGATGCGTACGGTGTGAAACAGTCGTTTCTCCAACGCAATCAGCGTGGACCAATCCTGCTTGTGTTCCCAGAACACCTGTGTTAGGGATCTTCCCAGCAGATCCTCGCTCGCCGCCGCGTGTGTGGTGACATGAACATACGCCAACCGAGCGAAAGAGGTGAGCGCGGCGAATTGCGCGATCTCCTTGCGTCGCATGCGCATCTTGCTCTCCGCCTTCTGGCGGTTTTTGCGCGCCTCCTTGGTCTCACCGCTCACGACGGCGTTGGAGCCCGGGTGCGAGTCGTCCAGACCAAATTCAAAATCGGGCTCCATCTGGCTTAGCTCGGTGACGAGGAGCGAGGATTGTTCGACCAGCGTGCCGTTGAGTTCGACCGCGAATTGACGTCGACAGTGCTTGAAGGCGCCTTGGAGCGAGGTGGTGACGTCGTTAAGGATTTTGCGCTGGTGCTTGGTGCGGTGGTGGTGGAGGGCGATTTTGGCTCTGGATTCGTCCGTCGGCACATCTTCGCCCGCGTCGGTGCTGAGGAAGGTGGCGCTCAGAGGGGTGCACGGCGCGGGAAGCGATGAGCCCACCAGGGTGCTGAACTCCGACGGAAAGTCGGTCATCGATGACGAGGCTGTGGAAGCAACACCGCCGGGACCTGGCATCAGCACGTCTTGCGGAGCGAACAGACCTGCGAGCGGACTGCTCATGGTTGGAGCAGCGTTGGCTCGAGACAATCGCCTTTCCCTGAGAGTGATGGAGCCGCCGGACGCACGAGAGAACGTGTTCGGCAGCGGCGAGGCGGACGCTCGCGCCCTCCGACTCGGCAACGAATTGAAGTTCCTTGTAGGTCCACGACCGGGTGAGGACTGAACAGAGTGTGACAGCATCACCGGGGATGGCGGCTGAGCGACATCGAGACCGCGCACGCGGTCGACCAAGCTAGAAGGCAAGCTCGACAGGCTACCCGTCGTCAGCGATCGTCTTCGGCCAGTCGGCACCTCGCCTGTCGATGACACAGAGCAGCGGGAGATGGTCTGCGGAAAGTTGGCAAAGCTCTGCGATGAAGTCGATGCCGTGCTTGCCATGGAGGGACTTCGGTGCTGTGCGTATTGTGCTCCATTGATCGTCGAAGCGGGCCAGGCGTTCGAGTCGACTCGCACAAAATCTGCTGATGTTGGAGTACCCTGGGCTGAGCCTTGGACTAGCCACTCGCTAGGAGCTACCTGAGGATTAAGCCAGCCGGGAGCGGGCATAGCGACCTGTGATGGCGCAATAGCACGAGAATTCGAGCTCGAAGTACGTCGGAGGGGAACGCAGCCGAGATGACTGTAGCCAGACGGGGCGGCGCTATTGCTTGCTGTGGCCATGGAAGCCGAGATGATCTCTTGGGATGTATCCGAGAACACCATTGCGTTACCTGCGTAGTGAGACGCAGCAAAGTCGAAGGCTCCGACCAGGTTCCCAGAGCTAGTATGAACGTCGGGCGTAGCAAAGCTACTGTCCTGCTGCTTGACCTGTCGATAAGGTTCTTGAGAGCTTGGTTGCATCAGTGTGTCATCCTCCAGGGAGACTTGATTCGAGGGTGTTACGGGTGCTGAGGGGGTCGAAGCGGTAGACGACGAGGGACACGACGCTGGCATGGTACTTGCAGAAAACGGTGCGGTCGAGCCGAAAGCTGTTGTGCTCGAGGACGACTTCACGAGGGCCGGAGTCAAGAGGAAGTCCTGGGGAGAAACAGGGTATTGGTTGCCACATCCCATCAGTGGTCCCGTCGTCATTGGCAAGCCTAGGTCGAGATCGAATCCGAGACCTGAGGTCGTAATATCGACGAAGGTCAGCACTCCACGAGCTGTGGCTGGCGTCGAGCTGCGGTAGCCAAGCAGCAATATCAGCGCCACCAATGCTGGTGTGCTGGCCGTCGGCTCGATGTGCCGAGGCAAATGTGGGCAGGTGATTGGAAGCATGATGGTTCGATGGCATGGTAGTGGTGGTCATGTGGCTAGACGAAGGCGCAGCAAAGGCTGGTGTCGTAGACCAAACCCATTTGCCTGTTGAATTCGCGCAGCTGTGTGACTGTGACGAACGCGAGTAGGCGTCAATGCCTCCCATACCATCACACTGGCAGTTGTGACTGTACTGCGTCTGCATTTTGGCGTCGATCTGCTGAGAGCTGCTGCGTCTGTACCAATGTCGATGCGCGATGAATGATAAGAAAGTCGGACAGGCAAGTCGCGCAGAGAAGGAGACGGAGGAGCTGCGTGGAGGGGAAGGAAGGTGCTAGCGGTCCAGGGCAGGGGATGAGGAGGTCAACGTCTATATAGGGTGCGAGCGAAGACTTAGCCGCTAAAGCGCCAAAGACGCAGCCAAGCGAGTAGATGCGAGCGCATGGCATAGAAGAGATGACTTGGGCCCTTCTGCGTTGTCTCACCGGGGCAAATCCGTCGGAGGACGAGATCAGCGGGATGAGAGCATCTCGAGAGTCAGACAAATCGGCGTGCTTGACGGGCAAGTCTTGGAAAGAAACCCATTCACTCTTTCCGCTGCCAACTCGGAATGCGGAATGCAGGTAGGCAGGCAGCCGGCAGAACGAGTCTCTATAGCCGCTCCATGCTCTTGGACCAGACCGGACCACAATGTTGGGCATAATCAGATAGACAAGGACGCCAGGGCAATGAGTGAAGGGGACGCGGGCTATGAAGCACAGCGGCTATTCTTGCTCATACGAGGTCTAGAGAACTGAAGGGAGCGCGAAGGGCAACTGCGAGGGCTTAGCCGCCGAAGCAGCAAATTTGAATTTGACCGTTGGACGACGAGAGAGGGAATGGGAGGGCGACTTACCACTTGCGGCGTTGCTGTAGGGTAGATCTACAGGTCTCCACGCTGTCACGGTGGTAGCTCGCACTAAGCGATGAACCTTGAGCTTGAGCTTAGGTGAGGCAGAGCGAGGCCCAACGGCACTGCAGGGTTCATGATGTAGGAATTGCATGAATGACGATGCGAACTTTTTTGTGGCGCTTGGCTTCTGCAATTTGATGCGGGAATTCATTTATTTAAAAAAGAAATTGGAATGGAACGTGGGAAATCACCGAGGTGACAAGAGTTTCGCCGTGTACAACCGTCTTTTCTGAAACCAACCATAAATTTAAATTATTATTATCAGCGCAAGATCGCCGCGCACGAGCAGAGATTTCCATGTGCAGTACTGCTCGCGTGGCCTCCTACTAGGGATGGGACGCAACTCGATACTCCTCCCCATCGTCCAACCTGACACAACGACCAGAACCTTGGCATAGACCGTTGATGCATCATCCTCGGCTCTGCTAAGCGACCCCAACGATCGTCGCTGTGCTTCTGGTTCATTTGCTACCCGCTTTTGGAAGAACCTCAACGACCAGTGGCCAGCCCTTGTCTCTTCTTGCCTTTGCGAGACTCTGACATGCCGGCGGAACTCGTCAGCCATCCCTCTCAACATCGTCTGACTTGACCATCAGCTCCAGAGCTCCCTTGCGACCGTCTTGCCGTGCAGCTGTTGAGGCGATCGTGCGCCAAACCCGAAAGCCGCATCCGTGATGCGTGTAGATGCTTGCTCAATCCGTGCGCCAACTACCAACGTGCCAAGACAGGGTTCGGAGGGGTGACAATGGCTAGGAACTCATTCAGGACCACTCACAATGGGCAACGTTTTCGAACAAAGAGCAAGTCGGAGCGGGATAGACGGTTGAAGCGCTTCGGTAATGCATACCTGCTTCCGGAATGGTTGAAGGGTGGCCGGGAGAGATGGTCCGGTCGGAATTCCGCGCGGCGAGTCTACCACAATAGAAGGGTTTCATGCATAAAGGGACGAGATGAGCCTCGCTTCAAGTCCAAGCGAGACGCAAAGGGTGGAGAACAAGGTGTGGACAATCAGCATGAACACCAGCAACTTCGAGGCGCAACATGGCGCTCTGCTCAACCAACCCGAACTGCACTCAAACGAGAGAGTCAGAGTCAGGCGCCAACTGTGACCGCATCTTGCATTTCGTCGTATTGTGTCGAGGTTGACCGGTTCGAGCTCATGTCAGCGTGCAAGGAGACCGATGGAGCGGCACTTTAACTCCTTCTCCAGTGTGCTCAAGCAGGTGGGGTGCGGAGATTCGCAGCGTGGGACGGCATGGCTCATCGTGCCTTTTGGGCGGCCAGCAGGAAACGCCGTGTGAAACAAGCGACAAGCCTCACGGTAAGAAGGGGCAATTCGACACCCACGCCAGGTTTCGAAGCCCGATTCATCAATGCAGAGAACAAAGGACGCTAAATTGGTGCAAAACTGCCACGGCCACATGGTCTCGATCTCCGCTCCAGAGTTCACATGGAATGACACACGCGCCCCACCAGGATGACTGTCCACAAAGACTCAATTGCCAATGCTCCCAGCGCTTCCTTTGGGCTGAATGGTTGCCGGTCAACCTTGATGAGCGCTAAAGCATTGAACGACGCCTTTGGGGCTTGGTCCTCTGCTTTGGGTCACTCCCGCAACGGTATCGGCCAAGCCAGACAGACTCGATTGAACGTCTACGAGGGTCAGCCTTGGAAGGACCGGAATTGACACCCTTGCCAAGATCGGAAACCTGGTGCAGTACGACAAGAAGGAAGCGTCCATCCCAATCGAACAGATCTTTGACAGCACTGTACGCCCAATGCGTCTAATCAATCTCTAGATCTTGCTTCTGCGATCTCGAAGTATAGCTTCTTGTCGGGACGGAAGTCGGAATGCAACTCATTGCTGTTCTGAGCCAACTGGAAGGGGGGGAAAGGAAAAGACGGAAGCCATCTGTCCGGAGCTAGAGCAGACGGCGATCGTTGTGGCAGCCAAGCTTGTCATTCTTTTGGTGTTTCTTTTCTCGAAAAATCCATTTGGGAGCGACCTTGGCGATGCGCGCTGGTACGCGGGGATTGAAAAGCGTGCATCAAGTTTATGCATTCACCGCGCGCTCCGCCTTGTCTTTTCGTCATCTCTCTTCCACGCTTCGGCCCCGACGCGGCCGTGGTTGGTGTTCCGATGTAATTGGACGGAAGTACAAAGGTCGTTGACGGATTTGTTGGGAATCGCTGCACTGTTCCTACCATGACAATGGCAAGGCAAGGAACAAAGAGGACACGGATGATCGGATTGAACAGGTAAGCAGCTATGACAAACGTTTTCCGTCACTCCGAGATCGACCGGTACAGCAATAGCGCGGAGGCTGCATGTTCAACGTTTAAAGCCCGCAACAATGGCACAAGTCAAGAAACGTGATGCAATATCCTCCTAAACAATGGATGGCGTGTGACGATCGTTCAGGTGACCACAACAATAGGGGTTCAGGGGGTGGTGGACAATAAGCGTGACAAGAAACGTGATGACCACAAGATTCGGTTGCAGATATCTTCCGCCTTGCTCTGCAGGGTCCTCGCTTGCAGTCCATCCCTGCTTCATTGGCGAGCCGCATACAGTATGTTGCCTTCGATTCGCTTCCGGAACTCCGTTTTGAGATCCTTGGCGCGGCTAAGGAGTCAGCGATTCTCGGAGTGAAACGAACATCCAAACCCGACGACTTGGACCCCGAAACGATCGAAAGAGGTAAGACGACATGGCAAGGCGTGCGGGGAAGTCTAAGCTGCCCCAAGACTGCATACCGGGCGACCGAGAGGATGGGACAACGTGCGGGCACGGGGAGGGGGGGGGGGGGGGGGGGGGGGGGGG